AAGAAAAAAAATGAAAAATTAACGGAAAAAAAATTAAAATGTATATCGCTAACGCTGGCTAATAAATATTTATAATATCTATTTAAAACGTATCTAACGATGAACCCGAGCGAAGCGAGGGTGAGCCGCTAGTTGATTAATATATAAAGGCGAAATACTATTCACTGATTCGTGAAACGCAAGAATCACGAAACCGTCGAAACGAAAGTATAAACGCTACAAGCTTGAAATTCAGTATATTGTACGTCCTACATAACAGTTAAAAATATTTTTGGAAATACAACCCCCAAAGGAGGAAAATGAAGCGATATTGTATGAATATCTTATAGCTCATTTGTTTTGTTTGGCGGTTGTACCCACCACAGTGTATATGTATAATTGGATACATAATAAATATTTATATTGTACCTACCAGGTTTTCAAATTTCAAACATTACCACTTGTATGATTTTTTTTTTATAAATTATGCATTCAACGCCAAAACCTTGATAGACAGCCTTTCAAAATAACACGGTCCTGATGTTTGTATTTACTTTGATAATTATAAATGCGGACGTCAACCTTAGTTCACATTGTACTTTATTTCTCGATATAATACATACATAATGTTAGCATATTATTAACATATTACATAATACCTTTTTGTTTGTAATCTATCAAAATATGTTAGCTTTGCAACATCTACAAGTAGTTCTTATTAAACTTTACGAAAGATTAACAAATAAAATAGTTTCTTTGTATCAATTGGATGGACCGTTGAATCGGTGTTTTCAATTTGATGTAAATTGTATACATTAAATTATTATTCATTCGACTTTTTACGAGTGCTAAAAAAATATATTTAAGCGAAAGTCGAATATTTAAAGGTATTTCAGGTGGTTCAGATTTGTCTAAATGTAAAATATTATAATAAATTAAATGAACTGAATGAAAATAAAAAACTAAAAAAGATCTACAGTACATTTTCCGGGATAAAAAGTAGCCTATGTGTTATTTTGATGTATGAGCTATATTATTGTAAAGTTTCATTAAAATCCATCCAGTAGTTTTTGCGTGAAAGGATAACAAACACCCCGTACAACCAGACACCCACACATCCTGACAAACTTTCGCATTTATAATATTAGTAGGATTTAGACTGCCTCCGTGGTGTAGTGGCTAGCATGTACGGCTGCACACCCGGAGGTCCTGGGTTCGAGTCCGTCCTCTCACTGGTCGTGTCGAGTGGTCGTCCCACCGAAATATGAGAGTGATAGGAATAGAGAGTGCACTTGTGTCTGCGCGTACACTTGTGCACTATAATATCTCCTGCGCAGTTGGCTAGTCTCAATGAGATTGGCCGCCGTGGCCGGAGTCCGTCTGGAGAACATCATTAGTAGGATCTAAGTATTTATTATATTTATAAGTAAATAGAAAACGAATGGACACTGTGTGCATTGAAATTAAATATATCATACCAAACAGCTTCCAAGGGCCAAAGAATTGGCCAAATTGCATTGACAAAACTAAAATAAGGCTAATATTTTGTATTATTACTTTTTTGCTTCGAGTAAACTAATGTATTAAGGACAAGGATAAAAATAAGAATATTTCTTTACCTAACAACTATTATTAATCATTAAAGTGTAATTTAAAATGAAGGATGCGTGCCAAGTACTCTAACAAAAAAAACTGTAGTCTTTTGAATTCTAAATGTTATATAAAAATTATATTATATTTCATATTATATGACTCATACATTAACAAATTTTCGTAGAATATAATCTAGATACATATAATAAAAGTGAAACTGATCGCTGTCTGTTCATATATTTATATTTACCGATATTAGAGAAAAAAAAACGATTATTGGGGGTCTTTATTAACGCAATAGAACCCAAAATAATGATTTTTAGAATTTATGGCTTTAAGCTTAACCGATTTGTGTGCAGTTTTCGCTAATGTAGTGTGATAAGCTTCATTTAACATTTAGTATTTGTTGTATATACACACGCAAAATAGGCGCATAGTCGTCGAGTTGCGGAAACTAGCCTGAACATACCATTTGTTGTATATCAACCGGTTCATTATATAAAAAAGTTACAATTTAAAAGACGCCTAGCGACAAACTCGAGCGAAGCGTGGGCGAATCGTTAATTAAAAATTAAATTAAAAATTCACACCGTGCTAACTAGAAATTTTAAAGAATTGTTTTTGTATATAATAAGAAATTTAGAAATTTATAAAGGAACAGTTAACATTATCATATTATACCGATACGGTATATTTTTACAAGCCTCGTTCCGAATATACAAACCCGTTAGCTCTTCATGAAACTGTAATTACCGCATTACCGTCTATACTTGAATCCTTTTCGTGCACTGCATTGGAATTACTCGGTAGAATGCGATCGTCATTTAATAACAAAATTCCAGTTAATTTTATATATTATTTACTTTTAGGCTTTTGAGACATAGCCTAGCATTATTTTATTAAAGACTCAATTTTTATATACATTCGCTAGACTTCAATTATATATGTTTTGCAACAAGATTTTCTTTGAAATGTTTTTTTAATATATATTTTTCTACGGCTGGAATTTATTTTTCTAGGGCGCGTTGAAGGCTGAAAAGGTCATAAATACGCCAAACGGTATTTTCAAATAAACCATATTCACACACATGATGCAATTTGAGCCTTTTTTCTAATAATGTTGCACTATTTTAGTGGGTATAAGAGAGAGATTTAAAAGTCCAAAATTGATAATAATTATTGCCATTACTTACTGTATTTTTGGTAATGCTTTTTTAGGAAGTAAAAGATAATAATAAAATCAATTTTCTGGAGCTTTTAAAAGGTTGAAATCTTGAAAGCATTTAACCCTGGAAAGGGTTAGGTTTAGTTTGCATGTTTCAGCGACTCGAGACTCGAGAGAAGAGCGTGATTCGACAGCGGGCGCCGCCGATGTGCAAGAAGTAAGAACCAACATAAACTGTTTCGAGAAAAGTTTTAACGTTAGGTGAAAGTTAAAACGGAGGGATAAGTCATAATAAAAGTGTCTCTATAGTAGATTTGTATTGAAAATTACTAAATACATCTAAAAAAATCATAAAAAAATCTGTCTTCACCTCATCATTATAATTTTGTTTGTCTCAAGTTGCTGCCTAACTAGAAAGCTAGTATAAATGCGAAATTTATACTCTAGAACAATGCTTGCAACTTTCTAAATTACTTATTGTCTAATGGAAAAATTATCACAGAATATAATTCACTTAACCCTTAAAGAGCACAAAAGTGCTTTAATTATCTAGATTGTGGAAAAGTTTAGTGATTATTATCAAAGAACCACTTCTACCATTCAAGACAGTAATGACCATACATATTTAATTAAACTGATAATTTTTCTTAATATTTCTTTTGTTTTAAGTACCAATTATAATAAAATAAGCATTGTAAAATATTATTTAAGTAATTATAATAATTATTATATGTACTTTATTAGTAGCAAGTCATATTTATTTCTTGAAATAACAGCAGGAATGTGTGTGTAAAAATATTTAAATGTATAGTAAAATAGTAAAAGATACATTGATTTTAAGTAAACCTTATTATATTTTTTGTTGTTTACTATATAAACTTATAGAATAGTGGGTTGTGAGCCCGACCAGCACTATGCAAGGGCTAAAAAGGTTAATTTCTTTACAACATTATTTTTGTTTTAATTCATACAGTTGCCTTGTTTGGTTAATTATGTTAAGTAAGTGCTAAATTTGTAACATACATAATGTGAACCAGTAATAGGTGATCCCTGAATATTTTATTTTTTTATTAATTTAGTTTTTTAACATAAGACTTGTTTTTAATTTGAAGATTTTTTAAAAATCAATCCATACAATTTTTAGTCATGTATACCTTATAACATCTAAATATTATATGTACTTGAATAGTAAATTGTTATTATTTAAAACAACTATATACTTCATAAGAAATACTAAATTAATTAATACTATTTAATTACTACAATGTTAATTAATTAATTAAAAAATAAAATATATTTAACTTGTTCCCTTTTTATAATATCAAAATTTTCAAGGCTAATTTTTCTATTATTAATAATTATGACATAGATTATCATTAAGTTTCTCTACTGAATTTAAATAAAGTTAAAAGGAGCCCCACACTACCATTATAATAACAAATGTTAAACATATTATTTAAATAACAAGTGCACAATATTTTTAAAAGGACTTCAATACTGCTTGATTAATTAAGAAATCAATTAAATTGTACAAATTTCTTTTCATTTACTTAAGAAGCTAAAATTTCATGTGTTTGTGAATAGCTTTGAAGTAGAATATAAAATGACCCCTATTGATGCATTAAATAAAAATGTAGTATTGTGAACCCTCTAGACTACAAACCTCTTTACAGGAAAGTAGTTTAAAAGAACTAACAAAAATAAACTGTTTTTAAAAATAAACATATCATTACATTGCTTCTAATCTATTTATAGATTATTAAAAAAAGCAATGAAACCATGCAACAAAAAAATTGAATTCAATACAAAAATATTAGGTAGTAAATTGATGATGAGAAACCTTATTATTAATTTGTTACAAAGTTATTTATATACAAATATAAATCATATCAGTTGTAATGAACTGCCTACTACAGAATTTATTACTATAAATCTTGATAAGAAATAAGTTATATCATAACTTTCTATCTTTCATCATAATTTTACTTGTGTAAATGTTTTAGTTTATTACTTTCGTTTTGTTTACATAAAAAAGGCATGATCATGAAAGCTATATAAAAAGATACCATATAATTTATCACTATAAAAGAATAAAAAGACCGAGATTATTATATCTGTAAAAATCTTTAAATTTCAGGCCTATTAAATTTTACTTTATTTTTATTATTGAAATTTCAACAACAAAAATTATCATTGTTTTGTGCACGACACCTAAACTATATATTTTTTTAAAGTATTAAACAAAGTTTTCATTAATACATACCCACATACACAGCGGCTCCTGCATCATAAAAGTCATTACTTCGACGAACTGATCGGTAACATTTTTCGTAACATTATTTGAGAGTTCAGTGGAAGCGGACACCAGTGGTTGCACCATCTTTGCTGCTTCACCTTCCACACTCCCTGAGATTGACTCCTGCTTTTGCAAAGTCGCGTTCAGTTTCCAGTTCGGATCACTCGTCACATTCACAGCAAAATACACAGCTATCGACAACAGTAAAACACTTCCCGCCGAATAAACCTTGAGATTCGGCAAGGGCAACCTGTCTACTAGAGTCACAGGCATCTTGAAAGTTCTACACTAAATAACTAACGTGAAATTTGTACGCCAGACCACCGACCTCTTTTCGAGTTTAAGAACATTGAATACTTTCCGAATTAAATTTTATGAGAATAACATTGCCAAGACAATAATACCACATCACCGCATATAATACTAACAGTGGCAGAGTCAGAGTTTGTACAATTAACAATAGCGGCCGCGCGTGATCGTAACTTGTAATTTATATTTATTTACGTCAAATGTTATCGGATATCGACTACGACGGAGTCAAGCTCGAACACGAAAATCGAAATACGTTTCGATATTTTAAAAGTTTTAATCGATTGTTTCGTTGACTTAAAGATATTAATAGTTATAAGATTATTTATTTTATGTTTACTAAATAAATATATTTAAAAAAAATTGGACACTACTTTTATATAAAGTCTTTCAGAATTTAGAACATCAAATCTGATTTTTGAAAACATCGATATCAAAATATCGATTAGTCTTCAATATCTCTAAATAATACATTGTTTAAAAATACTATTATCATTTTTGTAAAATGTGTATTATTTAATTAATTATTTTTTTAATATATCTATAATATCAGCAGTAACATATATATCAATTTGATAATTAAATAAGAATTGTAAACACTTCGAAAATATAAAGTGTGAATTTGTGATGTGTGTGACAGCTGATATTGTCAAGATGACAATTTGTTGACAATTAAGGTTTAGCCGAATTGAATTGTCGGCAGCGTATTAAATTATAAATATAAGTTTTCGAAATAAACATTATAAAAGTGCATTTTCCCCATGAAAGTATAGGACTTTAACAAGATGACTGAACGAGATTACGCTCCATTAAGTTCGGCATGTGTACGCGGCCTCTGCGACAAGTTCTATGATAAAAGAAAGTTTGCTGGTGTCGAAATTGAAAAGTACGTGATCTTGAAAGTGTATAACTATTAAATCATGGTCTTTAGTAAATTACTTTTCATAAATGTCTTTTTACTATCAAACAAATGCATTGCTTTAATTTAAAGTAAGTATAATTATTTCAGAATGGTTAAAGACTTCAGTGATGCTAACAACACCAATCAAATCAAACGTCTTATTCGTATTCTTGGCCAAGATCTCATGTCTTCTACGAACCCGAATGTAAAGAATGGAGCACTTATGGGTCTTTCTTCAGTTGCAGTAGGTTTAGGAAAGGTAAGAAGTTAGTGCTTCAACAAAAGCTTGTCTATTTTATTGATAGTTTCATTTATTATAATGTTTTGTATATTATAATGGATATTTTCAGACACATCTTCTTTTATTCAAAATTAAAAACTAGCAAATCAAAAATTATTTTGCAGTTTCTCCTGGTATTCTTCCAAGAATCAATTATTTTATTTAATTCTAGGACTGTGTGCTGTACATTAGTGAGTTGATTCACCCAATAATTGCTTGCTTGGGCGAAAGTGAAGCACGTGTGCGCTATGCTGCAACAGAAGCATTGTTTAATGTCCTAAAGATTGCAAGAGAAGCTGCGCTAACACATTTTCCTCTTGTTTTTGATGCCCTTGCACGTCTTGCTGCAGACCCTGAGCTACAAGTTAGGCAAGGTGCAGAATTGCTGGATAGACTTGTCAAGGTAATTTATATTTATATAAGATTATTATAAAAAAACACATTTCTTGTTAAAAATCATGCATTTGTGATGTTTCTATATCTATGCTAATATTATAAAGAGATAAAGTTTGTGAGATTGTGAGTTTGTGATGTTGTAGGGGGTAATCTCTGGATCTATTGAATCGATTTTGAAATTCTTTTACCAATAGAAAACCACGTTATTTCTGAGTGTCATATATTAACCCGAAGAATGAAAGGACTTTTTCATGGTAGTCGGATTTGCAAAGTAAGTCGGAGAAAAAACGGACTAACGAAAATGTTTCTTACGAACGTTGCCTTAATGATGAGAGCTATGTATACGATTATGTTCTAGAGAAAAGTTGTAGAGCTTAACAATGCCTACAAAAAAGTCAGCGACAGTATATGTCTAACTTTTATATTTAAGTCACAAAAAGTAGTTTTTTATATTAAAAAAAAATTAAATCGGTAGGTCATGTTTATTGGTCATATTATCAATAATTACTAGCGGCTCACCCACGCTTCGCTCGGGTTCACCTCTTGAAAATCACAAACAGATCTATCCTACGGGAACCGTTCATTTTTCCGGGATGAAAAGTATCCTGTTGTTTGACCGGCAAAATAAGGTATCAGCATTCAGCATGCCAAATTTTACTAAATTAGGTGCGTAAGTTGTTGTGTACTAAGCTCTATAAGTTACTATAGTTTTTTGACTATCCCACGGAAACTCTTTAATTTTCCGGGATGAAAAGTATCTACGATGTTGCCCGGGGATATAAGGTACCACCATGCAAAATTTAATTTAAATCGGTCCAATAGATTCGGAGATTATCCCGTACAAACAGGAAAACAGACAAACAGCTCGCTCGGGTTCGTCCATACCTTCGAATATGTTGTATTATCTCTTTAACCATTTGTCCAAATTATATGCAGTAAAAGGGAAAAGTCTTTTGTTTTAAACATTTTAGACGATAAATTTACTTATTTTGATAAGAATTCATAATTGTTGATAATATGACCAATAAACATGACCTACCGATTTAAATTATTTTTTTAATACAAAAAACTACTTTTTGTGACTTAAATATAAAAGTTAGACATATGCTGTCGCTGACTTTTTTGTAGACATTATTAAACTCTACAACTTTTCTCTAGAACATAATCATATATCTCTTATCGTTAAGGCAGCGTTCGAAAGAAACGTTTTCGTTCGACCGTTTTTTCTCCGACTTACTTTGCAAATCCGACTACCACGAAAAAGCCTTTTCATTTTTCTGGTTAATATATAGCCTATGACACTCAGAAAGAACGTGGCTTTCTATTGGTAAAAGAATTTTGAAAATCGGTTCATTAGATCCAGAGATTACCCCCTACAACGTCACTAACTCACAAACTCACAAGATCACAAACTTTACCTCTTTATAATATTAGTATAGATGAATTCTTATCAAAATAAGTAAATTATCGTCTACAATTTTTAAAACAAAAGACTTTTCTCTTTTACTGCATATAATTTGGACAAATGATTAAAGAGGTAATACGACATGCATGTAGGTATGGAACCGCGACCGTGTCGTAATTTATTGAGTGATATTTCTATAAGACAGTTTTTTTAAATACAATATGTCCATCTATCTATACTAATATTATAAAGGGATAAAGTTTGTGAATTGTGAGGTTGTGACGTTGTAAGGGGTAATCTCTGGATCTACTAAACCAATTTAGATGAAATTTGGTAAAAAGATAGTTTGAGACCCTGGGAAGGACATAGGATATTTTTATCCCGGAAATCATCCCTTAAGGGGGTAAAAATGGGGATGAAAGTTTGTATGGGGAAGCAAGCTAGGAACGAGCCTGAGCGAAGCGAGGTTGAGTCGCTAGTATTTGATAAATTGTTGTCATATTGTTAACAATTAATCTGATTGTTCCTATATTTTTGTGCACAGTTTCTTACCTAGTCTTCTTAGGATTGAGGATTTTTTTTGTTGAATACATATTTTTTTCAATTAGTTGTGAATTTGCAAATATACACTTGGAATAGACTCTCAGTCACCCTCGTGATTATGTTTTCTATAAATCATTCGAAATATCAGAAACCAAAAATCAAAATAAATATGCAAAAAATACTGAAAAGTTAGTTTTATTTAAAATGTCAAATATTCACATAAATCTAAAAAGTATTACATTTAGTGTACGGTATGTGTCATGTGTCTGTAGGATATAGTGACTGAGAGCCCGAGCCTGGAGCTGTCGTGCGTGGTGCCGCTGGTGCGCGAGCGCATGTATACGCGCAGCGCGGCGGCGCGCCAGTTCGCGGTGGCGTGGGTGTCGGCGCTGGACGCGGCGCCGGCGCTGGGCCTGCGCGCGCACCTGCCCGACCTGCTCGACGGCCTCTTCACCGTGCTCGACGACCCCAACCCGGAGATACGGCGCATGTCAGTACTCAGTGACCACGTACTACTTAGTACCTCCACTTCCTTACCTTCCAAATTAATCAATCTTCAGAACTCACAATGATGACCCGATGTAGTGACGCTAATATCGGAGCTTATATATGTATAGCTATCAGAATGTGTGCCTAGGGCGATTCAGAATTATACTTCTAACGTCATTTGTTGAATTAATGGATTAAACAACCCCAACAAATACTACATAAATTATAAACGTGACACTTTGTGAAGCTGTATGAATGTTACTCTTTTAGACAAAATCAACAGATTTTGATGGAACTTTATATTAATCACATTAATATTATTAATGTGAAATCTTGCATGGATGGATGTTTGTTACTCAATCACGCCAGAATGTATGAATGAATCTGGTGATATTTGACATAGAGGCGGATTATGATGTGGAGTAGCACATACGATACTTTTTATCCTGGAAAAATGTACGGATCCCATGGGGTAGATTTGTCTTGTTTTTCATAGTATAGCTCTCTAGTATAGCTTATTACATGAGGGTGTGTATGTGCAGGTGCGACGTGCAGCTGAACGAGTTCCTGCGCGCCATCAAGAAGGAGCCGGCGGAGGTGGACTTCCGCGCCATGATCAACATCCTCATCACGCACGCGCAGGCCTCCGAGGAGCTGCTGCAGGTACGGGCAGATGGCTAAGTTATTATTTCCTAACTACAGACATATTGACTTCAAAATTATATAATATGTTAACAGTAAGTATTTTATACTTAGGATGCAAAAGAATCAGTTTACACTCGAAAAATGATAAGTTATACTAGTATGAGTAATTAGAACAGCTGCGTGTATATATTTTTCCAACTACATACATACTATACTAATACTATGTTCCTTTGTCAAGTTGTTCTCTCCTTTTTATTTCACTTTTTACGCATTCGGGTTTTTTATTTTTGTAAATATTTTTTTTATTTACAGCTTTTAGTTTTGGTCAGTTAGACATTTTATTTAACAATTTCTTATGCTAAATTACTTTTTTACATGTAAGTTTTATATATACTTGTAATCACCTTTTAAAAATCTGTATGTTGATATCTCACTCGATTGATATAAATGCAAAAAAATCCAAGACACAAATTGGCGCGCAGGATCTGCCATTCTGAATTTTAATAATATCTATATAATCTATGACACTCGCGTTATGAAGACGAATCGAATGACGTATGTAATTAATAAGTGTAATTACGAGGGAACATAGGATCGTACGTACATACATACAGGTCAAACACATAACCCTGGGCTTCGCCGCAGTCGGGTAAAATAGCACTATTTCCATTTTTATTTATTGCCAGCAGTGGGACGTTAAAAAGGGCTGAATAGAATACAAATATTATGACTAAGTAGTACAGTCTGGTGTTTATCAGAAGTTAAGTAAGTACGTTTATATTGCAATGAGCGGTAGAAACCAAGTTGAGTTAAGGGAAGTAGCGGGCTTTGTAAATAAAGTTATAATATTAGTCCCGCTGAGTCTTTTTCGACAGTTCATCTCAGGTCTGAGGCTTCTTTTTTTCGAACTGATAGTCCACTCATGACGTTAAGTAAAACTTGTAATATTTTAATGCTGAATAAAATATTTGGAATTTGACTGGTATAGTCCGGGATAGACCGGGATGGTTGGCGCTTATTGGGGGAGCCTTTGTTCAGCAGTGGACGGCGATGGGCTGATTGATTGATGATCAGGCATAGTTCAAGGGGCGTCTGAGAAACCCATCACCGCCGAGCCCATCGCATCCTCTTTCGCTTACGAAAGGGAAATAAAAAGTAGACTATTGCGCAGTCAGTATGCAACCCCGAGGCCGGTTATTGTATATTAATGCATCCGAGTAAACGACTTTAAATAAAACACTCGACGCGTCACCTTTGACATTGATTTGTATGCTTCCGGGTAGATTGTTATAGGTAATTATAATTAGTCAATAGGGAATATGCGTGTGATTTAAATAAAGGTGAAATACAATTTTTTTATAATTCTTATTGCTTTTAAATTAATGTAATTTCTTTTTGATTAAGAAAATAATTATTAATAAGTGCAAATACAGGTGGAAAATTGAAAATTTAAAGTAGTTGAAACGTAATGCCATTGGTCAGAGCCAAGATGACATCAGAGTATATCATAACAGCGATTAGCGATTTTGTCGTTTACAAATTGCGTCTTCATTGCCCTGTGTATATCATACTGTGACGTCACGCCGAGCGCGCGAAATGGCGAGCGTTTAAATTATCCGTAACGGTATGATATTTAAAAAAAATTTTTTTGGAGTTGGACATTTTATTTTTCAATTATACAACGATGTAAGCTATTGTATAAAAATTTAAAAATTCATGAATGAATATTCCCTATTGTCTATCCAAGTTTGAGCAGTATTCGAATGTTCATAACTCATACACCAATACTGTTTACATTCATACCTATTAGCACTATTTTACATACGATTTACATAATTAAAAATGTGTATCTTTTTCTCGGGTATGTTAAAACAGTTGCTTATTTATTTAGGTAATTGTTTATCATAAATAAGAAAGTACTTTTACTTCCAATGATCGCAATATATAAATATAATAGCGACTCACCCTCGCTTCGCTCGGATTCGTCCCTAGCTTGCTTCCCCATTTTCACCCCCTTAAGGGATAATTACCGGGATAGAAAGTATCCTATGTCCTTCCCAGGGTCTTAAACTATCTTCTTACCAAATTTCATCAAAATCGGTTTAGTAGATCCAGAGATTACTCCCTACAACGTCACAAACTCACAATTCACAAACTCCTAAACTTTACCTCTTTATAATATTACGAGTAGAATAGATAGATTGACGTATTATATATATGAAAAAACACTAGACACACACACACACATAGAAATATCACTCAATAGATTAAGACGCGACCGCGGTTGCATACGTGGCTTTCTATTGGTAGAAGAATGTTGAAAATCGGTTCAGTAGATCCAGAGATTACCTCCTACAACGTCACAAACTCACAATATTTACCTTACAAACTTTACCTCTTTATAATATTAGTATAGATTGTCATATTATGTCTGTCAAAATATCCATTGCTACATGATATATAGGTATATGAATAATCGTTACAGATGTGTTATAAACGTCCGATGTACTTCTACAGGTCATTAAATTATTTTTTATGGAAAATTTATTGTTTCATTCAATTTTGTTTCGTTCTTTAATCACCAAACACAGTAAGTATTATTTTAGTATAGTGATAACTTTTGTTTATTTTTACTAAAATAATCCTTTAAAAAACAAACCTCAGATTTTCATTTAATTTCCTGTTAGGGTATAAAATATTGCGCATTTTCATATTAAGATGCTTTAACATATTCTTAGTAGTTTCTTTTTAATTCATGAATAACTAAAATATCCCTAGATTGTGTTGATGTGTATAAATATATAAGAAAAAGTGATAGATACGAAATAAGTACTAGAAATAAGGGTAAACTTATAACGCCTAGCTTTCACCTTCAAAAAGCGAATAGGTCACATTTAAATTAAATTAAATTTTACAAAACATTTAAATTATATTTTAAAAATGTAAAAAGTTACTATTGAAAAGTGTTTGTAAAAGTCTATTTGAATAAAGTATAATTTAATGTTAATCTATTTTTTTCTTTTGTATTGTTTCTTTGGCACCTCGTTTTTATTTTGTTTGTTAATTCACAGTATTTTGAATTGTAAATTTCTTTTGTTATAAATTCCAAAAGAGAATTCTTTCTATAAAAATAAAGTATACCAAGTAACTAAATTCGTTTTTTATATGTACAAAAAAGCGTGGCATTGTTTGAGTTCGATAATTACGAGTGTCCTCATCGAAGCCTACATCATCGAGGTTATAGTTGGACTGGATTTTTTATTATAAATCGCTTGTGATGGTTCGTTGTGTGCCGCAGCTGACGGCCATCACGTGGCTGAAGGAGTTCTGCGAGCTGAGCGGGCGCGACGTGTTGCCGCACGCGTCCGGCGTGCTGCGCGCCGCGCTGCCCTGCCTCGCCTACACCGACGAGCCGCGCAAGAGTATCCTTTTACGCGCACACGCACACACACACCCACACCCACACATACCTAAACTAAACCTAATTAAATCAAATTATATTTTTTTGCAAAATGATACTATTATTTTGGCTTTTTCCTCTTCTCCACTTAACAATCGAAAGACCAAACTACATGCAAATCAGAGATACGCGAGACCGCGGCCACGGTTAATCTGCAGCTTACCAAACTGGTGTCTGACATGGAACCCGGGGCGGAGCCCGAGGGGCGGGCAGGGGAGGCGGCGGCGGCGCCCGAGGGGCAGGCCGAAGGGCAGGAGGGGACGGAGCGCCTCGAGCTGGACGCCGTGGTGGAGGTGCTGACGCAGCTGCTGCACCACAACTCCGTGCACACTAAAGTGGCCACGCTAGATTGGATACTGCATCTGTACAATAAGTTGCCTCTTGAGGTATGTAATTAGTTTTTTAATTTGTAATTTATCCGCTCTTAAGCTCATAGTGTTATGCTGGTGAGCTGAGAGCCTAAAACTTTAAAAGTAAAAAGATTTTTTGAATTGTAGTTGGTAGTTCCAAAGATTAGCACATTTAAAAGAAAAGATATGTACATACTTTAGCTTTCCAATGTACCTATTATTATTATATCATATTGATTATTAATCCGAAAGTGTCATGGGTCATGCAATTTCAAAGCAATCCAACACTTCCATTTTTATTTTTGCACTAGCATTGCCCACGGCTCCGCCAGCGTTCAGATGACCAAGTTTTACATATTAGTATACTCTTACATTGCAGTTTTTGTATTATTTCTCAAAAATGAGATATTTTCCACCGGTAAAAAGTATTCTATTTGTTGACCCGGATAACCAGCTATCATCATACCAAATTTTATCAAAATCCCTCCAGTGGTGTTTCTGTGTTGCGGTAACAGACAGACAGACTGACAACAATTCTAAAAACTATAGATTCGGCCTCTGTATCGATAATAATGTCTATTTCAATAAGATTTTCCAAAAAATATTAAATGTACAGATTCGGCTTAGTTACAATTTTGTTATATGTATAGACTACTGACTAGTGACTACTCTCGCATTGCTCTGGTGTCGCTGTCCGTAGATGCCTTTTTGATAAAATGGGTAGTTTTAGAGATTACCTCCTAAACCCAAAATTACAAACTTTTCCTAAAGCTCGTATTACGTTTGTTCAAATGTTAGTTTGTGCAATGTAGAAAGTCGTTGAGAAAGTAATTTTTAAAATTATTGACGATATTTGTGATGAGTGTTGTATGAAATGAATATGGCAGAGTGTGAGGGCCCGAGGGTAAGGGAGTGTCGGGTTGCAGATGTCGGCGCAGACGGAGCGCGTGTTCGTGAGCGTGGTGGGCTGCCTCACCGACCCCGCCGACGACGCCGTGCGCCGCGCGCTCGCCGTGCTCGCCGAGATCTGCTCGGGACCGCCGCCCGCCCCCGCCCCCGGCCCCGCCCCCGCCGCCGGCGACACCGCCCCCGCCCCCGCCGCCGCCCTCGGCGACGACGACGAAGTCTGCAGTGAGTTATGCCTGCGTGATAGGGACGTCAATATAAATAGTCTATAGTATTTAAACTCCATTCTGAATTTGTTCTAGCAATCGTGCGTGGCGAGCAAGGGGAGCCCTGGGTGAGGCTCACCTGGCTGTCATACATAATTTTCTAAGACAGTCGGGAAACGGTGTTAGAGTTGATGAGTATAATTGTAACTTTCCAAGAGTTGCCAACTTTAAAACTGTTTGCCATGAAAATTAGTCCCTTTTTGATATCCCTTGCCTTTGACAGGATTTTTATTAAAATTACGGTACAATCGTTAATTGTATGGACTTTTATTATTGTAAATATAGTGTGAAAATCATCGATCAAAAAAGTACTAGATTCACAGTCAGCGAAAAACAATGTCCTCATCGAATGAGCGCTCATTTGAACATCTGAGCGCGATTTTATTACATTTTTTTTGTGACAACGACTTTAAGCATAGCATTTAAGGTTCAATTTACATTGAACAATTTCATCTAATCATAATTAATTAAAAACAATTGGTGACAGTTTTCAGAGAACATTTGCATGGGATTGTGTGTATAGTACTTTTTTGATTGATGGTGAAAATGTAATAAACACTCTCAGATTTACTCACTCGTTTTCGTATTAGTATAATAACACTAGTTTGATGTGTTTCAGGTGATTTAGAAGCTAATCCTTACTATCAAAAGTTCCTAAAGGCGTTGTTGAGGCTGCTGGCCGCCGACGAAAATCTGCTGGAAGAGAGGGGGGCCTTCATTATAAGGTAGGCCCAGTCCCTGTACAATATTTTCCACTACTAACTTATTTTTTCATATTTCACTTCATTTTTCTTTGCGTAATTCTGAACTTCAACAAATTAATCTAGTAATCTCAATTAATTTCTGGAAAGTTTTTGTCCCTTTCTCATTCATGGCAATTCTCAATTTGCAATTAATCTTTCGCCCTTCGACATTGTGCATTCTCTTCACCAGTCCTATTCTAGTCTATACTAATATGTATTATAAAGACGAAAGATTTTTTGTTTGTTTGTTTGTACCAAATAAGCTCTGAAACTATTGAACCGATTTAGATAAAATTTGGTAAGAAGATAGTTTGAGACTCTAGAAAGGGTATAAAATAGTTTTTATCCCAAAAGTTAATGGGTTAAAAAGGGATGAAAGTTTGTATGGGGAAGCAGCCTTGGGACGAAACCGAGTGAAACGAGAGTGAGTCGCTAGTTACGTTCTACATTCTCGATTACAACATTATTAATTGGAATGATTGTACCTGCGCTGGCAGACAGCTGTGCGTGCTGCTGGGCGCGGAGGCGGTGTACGTGGGCGTGGCGCGCGCGGGGGTGGGGGGCGGGCGGCGCGCGGCGGCGCGGCTGGCGGGCGCGCTGGCCACGCTGCTGCTGACGGCGGCGGAGCTGCAGCCGCTGCGGCGGCGGCTGCGCGCGGCGCCCGGCGGCCTGTTCCGCACGCTGTACCGCGCGTGGGCGCACAGCCCCGTGGCGCTGCTGGCGCTGTGCCTGCTCACGCACAACTACCGTCACTGCGCCGCTCTCGTCGCTACTTTGTATCCTTTTCTTTTTAAATTTATATTAGACTTGCAACGAATAGTATTTTCGGCCATACGCCGAATACCAGATATTCTGTGGGCTCTCTGGCCGGATAGCTGTATATTAGGCAAAAGTTAGGTCGACGCGTGGCTGGAATACTTGCATCGACGTGTTTGTTTCTTGTATGACACCAAGAAGTAGTATTTAAATAAAACTATCTTTTCGAATTTTTTCGCGTATTTTTTTAGACTCAGTATCCCCCGTGACCATGATAGCTGTAAAGCATTCGAAACGTCGACCAAAAATCAAAATAAATCCGCGAAAAAATCCGAAAAGGTAGTTTTATTTAAAATGTCAAATATTCGCGTAAATCTAAGAAAGTATTAAGTAGTATTTATTCAAAGTGCCTTTTTTCTGAAGCTGGGATTGCCTACAAAGAAAAGAAATAAATTACTCCCTGAAAATGCGAAAAAAATTAGTATTTCTTTATCATAATCTTCCAACAATGGCTCCACGGAACCTTTCCCGTCTTGTAAAGTCTTATTTGCGTTATCTTAGTGTTCAATAACCACGGGGTTGCTACTCCGTTTTAATTTAATAACTGCCTAGTTACTGTTCAAACAGGAACACAAGTATGTAATTTTAATAAGTTCATTATTATTGATTTGAGATTGACAATGTATGATATATTATTATTATTAGGTTTCCAAAAAATATACTATACATATATTATTTAGTAGTAAAAAAAAAAAATTATTTTATATAAATATATTTTCCTGAACATACCATTTAGCGGAGACCTGGAGATAACTGTGGAGTTTCTGACAGAAATAGATAAATTAGTTCAATTAATAGAATCCCCTGTGTTTGCGTGTGAGTGTTATTTTTATTTTTTTACTCTTAATGTGAATGTTATTATGTATGTATGTATGCCTTTTATAAATGCCATAAACTGAAGATTGTCACGGAGAAGACAAATCGTATAATTCCTAGGTTTACTATTTTATAAAGTCTAAAAGTCAGTATCATGAAGGCGGAATTATTACGGGGCTTAGAAAATTGATATAATTTAAAAATTAAATTTTAATTCAACTCGTACCCACAATTAGAAGCTGTGTTCATTAACAAATATCGTCAGCTGACCAGCGAGGAGAGCATCGAATGTGAGAGAGATGAGTAATGTGTGTTGTGTGCGCCAGACCTGCGGCTGGAGCTGCTGGGCGGCGAGGGCAGCGCGGAGCTGCGCGCGGCGCTTTTCGGCTTGCTCATGCTGCTGCCGCAGAGCGAGGCCTTCCACGCCCTGCGCCGCCGCCTGCACTGCGCGCCGCCCGCCCCCGCCCACGGCGCGCCGCCCGCCCCCGCGCCCGCCCCCGCCCACGGCGCGCCGCCCGCGCCCGACCCCTTCCCCGAGCTGCTGGAGGAGTTCCGGCGCGTGCAGGCGGCGCACCGCAACGACCTGCTGCTGGAGCGCCGCGTGTCGCGCGCGCGCACCTAGCCTCGAGCTTTCTGTTACACTCTGGCTTAAAATTATTATGGATCGATGTTATACCTTAATTGAATCATTATTAAGACGATATCAATTGTTTATTAATGAAAAAACTTAAATTGTGACTCAATTTTTTAAATGATTTGTACACTATTAGCCTGTAAATCCAGATGTTACGAAGTCGCTAATTATCATATCTGATCTCAAAACGTTTAAGGAACACTCTGCATTTGGAGCGTAATCTTTCAAAATGTTTTTTTTTTATTATAGTTCACATGCTTATTGATAATATAAAAAAATGAAACATAATATAGTTTATAAAATTTGTAAAAATACATATACAATAGTTAAATATCAATCTAATTAATTACAAAGTGTTAAATAGCTATAATATATCATTATGTCCTTGTACAAAGTAAAGTCGCTATTTTAGGTAACGATTATAATCTCGGATTTATGATAGAGTGCAACCGTTAGCCGAGCTTGGCGTCGCCGCGGCAGCGCGCCGGCGAGCTCGCCCGCGCAGAGATTTATATTATATAAAAATACTTGTATATATATATAGATGTTTAAGATATAGATTTTATAGAATAAATTATTATTGTTCATACATTCCATTATCATGTTTTATTTGGTACTGTTTTTTTCTTTGAACTTTATATAAATTATCCATTTTTGTCTCTGATATTTAAAACGAGCATATAAATATATAAGTACCTGGGCCACCGAGCGTTGCTCGGAGTTTTTGGTTAAAAAGTACAACTTTATTTTAAAAAAAAAAACTAAAAACTTGGATAAATACAAACTTAAATTATACCTTTGTATCCGACCGGGATTCGAACTCGGACAACTATGAATGTCAACCTTGCGTCTTTTTTTAAAAAAAAAACTAAAAACTTGAATACATATTAAAAAAAGCGTGCGAGAGAGTGCAGACGCTACGCGTACTCTCTGTCCCTGTCACTCGTAGCTTACCATTACATGATGGATAGTAAATTATAATTAATAGTGTTAATGTCCCAACATATTTAATCACTCTCATACTCCGGTAGGACGACTACTCGATACGGCCAGTGAGCGTCTGTCTCGGCACGGGTGTGAAACACCATCAACTTCCCAACTCCGGGCTGTTACTGATGCTTACTTATACAGAAAGACTCAATAACTAAACTTGGCCCGACCCGGGACTCGAACCTAGGACCTCCGGGTTTGCGGCCGTACATGTTAGCCACTACACCACCGAAGCAATTACAATAATGTACGGAAGACTGCCCGATTTGTTAACATTCCTGATCACAGCTCCGCTCCATTGGGTATTAGCATGATATATAGCGGAGCCCATAGCCTTTCTCAATAAGCGGGCTATCTAATGGAAAAAGAATTTTTCAACTCGGATTAGTAGTAGTAAGTATAAATAGCTCAGACAACACAACCTATATCTATGATAAATAGATATGAAATAGCATAAATTAGTATTCGTGAAAATAAACAAATTAACTGTATACTTATCAGTAAAAAATGCTATTATACAGTATTTATAGTTACAAGTTGATAATCTTTTTTTTATAAATAATTTAATCATTTAATGTAATGTCTAGAAAAAAAATACGAGATCATGCTAATATTAAAAAATGCGATGTGAATATATTGTTTATACGTAACTTCTCCACACTAACCACATGACGAATTTTTGGATTAACATTTAACATTACGGCGCGAGAACTACGCGAGTGAGGCCGCGTGCAATAACTAGTGTATTTAAATAAAACCAGCAAAAAATTCGTATGTATATATTTAACTTACAACAACAATAAAATTGTCATATTGAATAATCATGCATCACAGGATAACTTCCAAGAGTAACATATGTATTAGAATTATAATATAAATCAACTTCGCGAAGACCAAAAACAAGTTTTATAAGTTTGCACATGGCTGATGGCGATGTAGCTTCTACATGGATATACTGATTTCAATGATTTTTTTTGGTAATTATCTTAATACACTGCATTTCGATGTTCTTATATTTAATTAAGATATCAATAATATATATACAAATGTTATTTATTTTGATATTAGACAGCACTAAATGCTAATATTTTTTTACTTTTGACACAATTATTATTTGAACAGCCAACAATTTTAATATTTCGTCCGAATCGTGGACAAAACAAAAATAAAAGTTTATTTCATTTGTATGAAGATACTCTGACCAGTTCTACAAATGGAATCTATCTATTTTTCTATTCAGCCCTTTTTAACGTCCCACTGCTGGGGGTGGGCCTCCCTTCAGTACGAGGGGGATCAGGCCATAGTCCACCACGCTGGCCAAGTGCGGGCGGACGGAGCATGTCTTTCGGACACTTGCTAGATTCTCTCAGACATGCATATTTCCTCACGATGTTTTCCTTCACCGTAAGGCAAGTGGTAATCATGTTAGAAATGATTCGCACATGAAAATATCAGAGGTGCGAGATCCGGGATTTGAACCCGCTTCACTTGGTTTCTCAAGGATGCGCGTTACCACAGTGACTGGGCTACCATTTCCTACTTAATTCATTAACTTTAAGTATAACACCAAAATCTAAAACAATAAATTTTTAAATGTACCGAGATCAAGTGATTACCGAGTTTATTTTATTCTTAGTACATACATTAAGATAAGAAGTAATGGAAGTAGGATACAGGACAGTTATTATTATTCTATATATGTATATATTTTTCAGATTGAGATCACTTTTGTTTAGTACAATTTTTTACTTAACAATACAAAGTTGTAAAAATTAATTATTCAAAATACATAGCATATATTATTCGCCACATTAAGGTTTAATAAAATTTTATGGTAAAAATTTTTTAGGTTATTGCTACATTATATATTAATCAGTTCCACAATTTGGAGTTCAAATACAAGAAAAATCAGACAACTGCGAACTGACTCGCCCATCAGGGCTTCCAAATTCCAAACCACTAAACATCAAGTCTTTGTAATTTTCAACTTATACATATAATTTGCCAATTTAAATATTTTGACATATATATATAATTTTTATTGATAGCGTAAATAACGTTATTTTTATAGTATTTTTAACATAAAGATACTAGAAAACAGTGCATTTTTTGGCTGTAAAATAACAGAGCTTAGAACTGTAAACATCACATCAACTCAAATTTTCTCCTGTATATTTTGTTTGTGAGACTGTAAATTATAATTAAGAAAAATTTCCACAAGTCCGATCTTATATTTCGTCATAATTACTAAACAGCTTAACCGATTTTGATGAATTTCCTTAGTGTCGTCTTGATAACACAAGTGTTTTAGGGTATATAGATAGCAAAGTAAGCCAAATATTAAATTTGTAAAGTATTTATTATTGTAACATGGTATTGTAGTTGATATTATATCAAGTTCATTGTAAATGAATTACTCTCTCAAATTTAATGTTACTGGAACATCTTTTGTTTTTAACTAATTGATGCCAAACAATTTAGACTCACCAAGTATAAACCTAATTAGTAAATGTTGTAAAATATAACATGGATCCAAGTACAAAATGTATATATGTATTTTTTTTACACAAACTTCATAAACAAACAATTGGAATGAGATATTTAAGAACCTTCCCTCTTACAGTTAGATATTTCCTACACCTAAAGGTTGCCTGGAAGAGCTCGATGCTTTAGCGACAAGGCCGCCTTCTGTACATTATCTATTTTGTATATATTTTGTGTAAATTCTTCTCTTTAGCGTGTACATATTATTATTATAAAGTAATTAACATATTGTCACTGTACAAATCTATTTTACATGTAATTTATTTTATTGTAAAAACCAGAGGCGGTTATTTCTTGCTGATATTGTGTGAATAGCATTAAGTAACGACACAGGTAGATTTCGAATGTGGTTTAACGCATATATTCTTATTGATCTCGTCCTCATCTTTCGGCAGCGAGCCGGCGTCCTTCGAGCTCGCCGACTCGTATATGACAGTCCTTATGCCGGAGTCCACGGACGTCATGGTCGCGTCGGAGTCGGAGGACGTGGTCTCAGTGTCCGTGCATTCCTCATCGTTCCGCAAACAGTATTTATCCGCTTGTGCGTTCAAGATTTCTACACTACTGTATTTAAATATTTTAAAGGTCCCCCCGCTGCTAACGTTTCTGTTTATATTTTCATACACAATATCAGAGTTCTGCTGGTAGTAGTCAGAGTCGAAGGTTGTCTCTAAGTACATGCGACAGTCGTCCTTGTTGCACCAACACTTATCACTTTGACTAATACTATTGAGGTCGTCCATATTGGTATATGTGTTACTGTCCTCGTCGTCACAGCACTGGGAGTTCAAGCACTTCAAGTGGTCGCTGCGGGCGCCGGCGGGGGCGGGCGGGCGCTAGGGGGCCGCGTCGGCCGTGAGGCGCACCAGGCGCGCCACCAGCGCCGAGCTGGCCGCCACCGCCGCCGCCACGTCCTCGTGCGCCGCCAGCAGCGCGCGCACGCCCGCGCCCGCCGCGCCCACGCCGCCCGCCCCCGCCCCGGCGCTGCCCGCCCTCGCCCCTGCCCCCGCGCCGCGCGAACGAGTCTCCTTCTCTTTTTCAATCGGTGTTTCCTGCTTCTGGGTATTTGACTGTTAAAGAATATGTATTCATTTATTTAATTAAGGAATTTTATGTACATATATCTGTATAAGTTGAAATTAGATTAGAGAAGACATATTTATAACTGAACCATTATTATTATAACTGAACTTTTAATATTTCATCTTTAAATAAGACTATTTAACATAACAAAATATGGATAATATTTATTTTCTCCATTCTCATTTTCATACTGATATTTTGAATATTTTTTAATTAATAATAAGTTTATTATTTTATAATAAAAAAAGTGTTGCGATGTACCTGCGCCTGCGCGTCGGCGACGAGCGCGCGCGTGGCGTGCTCGGCGTCCTGCAGCCGCGCCGCCAGCGCCAGGACCTTCAGCTCCGTCGCCGACAGGTCCTTGTCCAGGATCTGCGTCTGCAGGTAGACGGTCTGCGCCACCTTGTACCAATCGGCGATGGCGTCGGCGCGCGCGCGGGCCATGGGCGCGGCGCGCTGCAGCAGCGCGCGCGCGCGCCGCCCCGTCTCCGCCACCGTGATGCGCTCCAGCACGTGGAACTGCTCGTCGTTGTAGGTGAGCGCGCGCGTGGCGCGGTCGCGCACCAGGTGCTGCCACGACTCGCGCAGGCGCTCCGCCAGCGCGCGCGCGCGCCGCGCCAGCCGCAGCTCCGCCGGGCACGGCGCCGCCGCCAGTGCGTCCAGCCATGCCGCGCGCAGCGCGCCGCCCGCGCCCGCGCCGCTCGCGCCCGCGTGCCTCACGCGCAGCGCCGCCGCCGCGCCGCGCAGCGCCTCCGCCTCGCCCGCCGCCAGCGCCGCGGCCGCCGCCCACTGCTCGCCCGCCCCCGCCGCCGCCCCCGCGGGCGGGCGCAGCGCGCGCGCGGCGGCGGCGGCCAGGTCGAGCGCGCGCGCGGCGTCGTGCAGGCGCGCCGCGTGCGCCGCCAGCGCGGCCGCGCGCGTCGCCACCGCCTGCGACCACACCATGTAATATTTTACACACATAAAATTATCGACTCACACATGAATCTTTTTTCCGACACTTATTGCTATAGTAATAGGCGGTGTATGAACTATATCACATCGCCGCACACAGCTCTCCCGCGCGCTGAAAAACTCGACGATTCTCTTCTCTTCGGCTTTTTTGAACTTTTTTTTAAGTAAATAATTAATGTTTATTTTTCAAATAAAAAAAAGTATTACATGTTAACAAAATAAGACTGATACAGTTCTTTTATTTGTTTTTAACTGAATTATCCCAGATCATTCAGTGTTTAATTTATCATTATTTTATACATAATAAATAGTACCTGGGCCACCGAGCTTCGTTCGGAGTTTTTGGTCAAAAGTACAATTTTCTTCTAAAAAAAACTAAATACTTGAATAAATACGAAAAAAACAAAAATAAATTATTCCTGTTTATCCGACCGGGATTCGAACCCGGACACCTATGATTGTCAATCTTGCGTCTTTTTAAAAAAAAACTAAAACTTGAATAAATATTAAAAAAATAAAAGTAAAAACTTTGTATGCGATCGGACTTCGAACCTGGACACCTGTGATTGTTGATCTCGCACCTTGGCCGCTTGACTACGATGCTTATACCCGAGCGTGCAAATTACCGACCATATTTTGCGTGGAATAATGCAAAAGAAAACTGCATAAAAATTCGAAAACACGCGTTTTCTCAGACATAAGAATGATCTTTTTACCGCCCCCGAAACCCCCAGTGTACAAAATTTCATGAAAATCGTTGGAGCGGTTTCCGAGCTTCAGATTATATATACCTATACAAGAATTGCTCGTTTAAAGATATAAGATATTTTATAATTGAACTCTATTAATTTTATATCTATATAAATAAAAATGAATCACCGAAATGTATGTACGCGCATAACTTCCGATCGACTGCACGACTTTTTTTTTGTGTTTGTTATTGTCAGGACAAGTTTTGTATTGAAAAAAATAAAGTATTTTAAAATTAAAATAAGTTTTTTTTAAATCTCATGCTATGAAAAGTGAGTGAGTGGAATCACGGAATCAAATCATCCCTTAAGGATATGAGAATTGGGATAAAAGGTTGTATGGGGAAGTAAACAAGGAACGAACCCGAGCGAAGCGAGGGTGAGTCGCTAGTTTTATAATGTAAATTATAATGATTGTATAACAAACGTGTACCAAAAAGCGAAAGGAACTTCGTTCCGACCGGAGGTCTATAGACCCTTCATTTTTTTTATTTAGAACTTAAAACTGTTTGAAATGAATGATGAATGAAGTAAAAGTGTATGTAGTGAGGTAGCGGTACTCGCCTCGAGGCGGCGCGCCAGCAGGCCGCCCCAGCGCGCCACGCAGGCGCCGCACTGGCGCGACGCGGCGCACAGCGCCTCCACGCGGCGCCGCACCACGTGCCCCACGCTGCACGCCGTCTACCGCCAGAGACGATACATTATGCATTACTCACGAGCGATACCTCTAACCGACCCGATGAAATGGAATAACTAAACTATGACAAATCTTTCTTTTGTTTTTTTTTCCAAATACTTATAAATAATAATTGAAATACAGTAGGCAATCACAGAATTATTTAAACAGAAATGCTGTCAAATGTAAGGTCTGTCAAAAAATATCAATATTTATGATTGCAGTCCCACTTTGTAGCTATTTATAATTATACGGCTACAACGGCTTTAGAGTTGATACTTATAACTTACCACAAGATGGCGTTTTAACATGTAAACTGTTTGAAAATCGGTATTTTTTAACCCCCGACGCAAAAAGAGGTGTGTTACATATTTGACGTAAATGTCCGTCTGTCTGTCTGTGTATATGTTTGTGTGTCTGTCTGTAGCTTTCAAGCGGATGGACCGATTTCAATACAGCTTTTTCATTTGAAAGCCAGTTTCTATGCAGTGGTTCTTAGCTATGTTTGGTTAATATCGGTCCAGCAGTGTAAGAGTATCTGCTCTTTTCCAAAATGATGTGAGGCATTTTGGCGTATGATTACTCGATTAATTTCTTCACGCGTGTCAGTGTAATCCTTAAACGACAATTAATTTGCGTAGAAGGTTTTTTTTTAATTTTTAATTGAGATATAGTAGCATTTCCTTCAAAATCAACGACTAATATGAATTTTTATTCTATGCTTTTATTATCTATCTATTACCCTAAGTCTTAGCAGTGATTCAAGTTATTAAAATCCATTTAAATTTAAAAGAATTCGAGTGAATAATGATCAGGTCGCGACCTTGGCCTGGGCGGCGTCGTTCTCGACGGACACTATGTTGGGGAAGACGGGGAACTTGGGCACGTCGGGCTCGGGCGCCATGCACACGTTGTTATTGTTCTTGTTGAACAGCATCAGCGGCTCCTCCGCCGTCGTCTCCGGGTAGTCCTTGCCTGCGAACATGTCGTATTGTTGTATACTATTTTCCTTCGTTATCTTGTGCCTTTTTTTATTTCGCCTTTTATGCAATTGGGATTTTTTTTTATTTTTTTACTTAATTTTTAGTGGATACGCCTCTATGTAAGACTAAGATAGATATGATGGACGATGGCATATCCATGGAGGCGGAAAGGGTTTTAACATTTGACCTTTCGGTTACGGAACCCTGAAACAAAAGTATAATAAACCCAAGTGTATCCCTATATATAGGCTAACACAGCTTACTTCTTTTCTTACTTAACAAAAAAGAGAAAATACCTAAAGGAGGTTACCAAAATGGATCACGATCGCCATAAACCAAATCAGGCCCAAAGCTCATGTCGAAGCTGGTATAAACACTCTCCTACGCAATCATATTTTGATTCTCAATATATTCACATGACAAAGCAAATCTGCATTATTACGTAATTATCATCATATATAATTGACTTTCGAAAATATTCCAATATTACTTATTCAGTTTAAGTTTCTTATGGCTCAGTATTGTGTACAATTTTAGGTTTTGTTTATTATTATAATATAACAGGTACGTACCCAGTGTGTTTTCGTCGATCTCCGAGAGAATCAAGGTGTCCTTGTACAGCAGAATCTGGGACTCGGCGACGACGCTGGTCTGCTCGCATATGTATGTCTGTAGATGCTCATATTTCTCCTCCGGTTTCAAGAACACCTAATGAGTAAATCAAGATTTAATGTATAATATTAAACAAAAAAAGGCATGCAACGCAATAATTCATCTATTATTTCTTAGCATACAAAATTTCCCCCGCAACTCGGCTCGCAATCTAAGGGGTGTAGCGTGATGTTAGATAGCCTATAATAATATTTCTAATATCGAAATGGTAGTTCCATAGTTTAGCGCTTTATACAAACAAAAAATAATACTCTTTAGTTTTAAACTGTTAGAACATAACAGATTTTAAAACGTAGGTATGGTCTACTACATGTAAATAAGTGTTAGTGATTGCTATCCATATTTTGTAGCATTATCAACAATTTCCCCCAGCTCCGCTTGCATTTAATACACGATATATCCAACTTTTCACTGAAAGCCAAAAAAGAAGTTACAGCGTGAAGACGTAACAAACCCACATCCACTCACTAACGTTTTTTTAAAGTTTAGTGTGAAAATAATGTATGTTTTTTATCATGTGTTTCTTTCACGCAGCAAGGGATCAAGAGATTAACGTGATTGTTTACATCGACATCATTTATGAGCCTCATTTAAGAGTAAAATGCAATTTTTTACTCGGTACGTTACGTGGTTAACATAGGTCATATATTAGTTTATCGCAAAAGTTATTGCTAACTTTAAAAAAAAAACCGCACCGACGTTCTATTAAGTCTATTAGTAAGTTAATTAAGAGAAGAAAAATTTTAAGTCACCAAAGAACTGAGAGAAGTAACTGACAATGCTGCTTTTCAAATCATAATTAAATTTCATTAAATTAAACGTCGCCTGACGGGTTTTCATATAACAATAAAATAAAAATATTGTATATTTGTTAATTATTTCAAGTTGAACCAATAAAAAACTTTGTATCTGAATTTTTTCCAAGTAACTTCATGAATGCAATGCGGCACGCACACGGAAGTATATTACTTTATATCGCAAGCCGCGACCAAACCGCAAACCATAAGGAAACGTGCAACGTCGCATGCACGAAGAAGTTTAATATTTCAATAGAAAAAAACGTCGGGATCTCCATTTACAGTCATAAACCATCAGCAACTACCTATTTGATATAATACAAAATAGTTGATGATAATACTCGTATATAGCGAGCATTTACGTAAAGGCCCAACACTCGCGCCCCGCGCATTCCTCTAATTAGTGCAATGAAATCGCAGCCTTGGATATGTAGGTCTTTATATACATAATAAGTAAATGATTACAGTATTGTGTTAGAATAAAAACATTCCTTAAGAGTTTCTCAATGATTATTATGATTTATTATACTTTTTATGTACATAATATTAATGTACAGTGTACACTATATTATAGGAATGCAGTGTTCTTTTATTATGTAAATATATTTAAATATATTTACATAATAATTATATCATTTTTGCAAACTTTCCCTGTTAATTATGCTAAGTTATATATAATGTGTATTCTTAAATATTCGAATATGTGAATTGGTTTCCACCATCTCAAAACATATGCACATTTGAGCTTCAATTCACAAAATTAACATAAACTAAATTCATTGTGCTATTATAAATATTCATTATAAACATGAAAGTTTTAGATTATAACGTACAGACTACTTTGTATCAAAATATGTATCACTCAACAAAAATTAGCATATTTTAAAATAATTAACTTTACCTTGATACTAGCTGCTTTGTTGACATGGAAGATGTGGACTGGCGTAGTAGATGTTACCGTTTGGACTTCTGAAAAGAATCTATCAAAAGTCCAGATTCTGTGTGGATCTACTTCCAATAATCCAGCCAGCAAAGGTGTAACTAACTTGCGGAGACCTACACTCAGTTGGCAATGTGAGGGGAGTTCCCGAGACCACTCTATAGGACCATTTTCAGTTGTTTGTGTACCCTGTACAAATAAAAATTATAATTGCTTTTATTTCATATTATTAAATGATTTACCTTTATTATTTTATTTGCTTTTTACTCAACAATTGTAATTAATTAATATATGTCTCATATAGCATTAAAAGACAAGGGTTTCATAAAAAGAAGGAAAAAAAAATCTGCTGATGATTAACCTTAATGAGCAATACTGGATAACAACTGGGTAATGGTAGCATTTTTTATCTGACCTATTTATAAAATCCTCATTAAAAGTAAGCTCAATCAATAATAGAGAAGACATATGAATAAGAAAATAAACTATATAAAGCCTTACAGATATTACACCAGATGCTTTTTTAGTTGTTATGTAAAACATAGTCTCTTTATTTCTTCTTCCTCCATAAGGTCTGAACGGCAGCTGCCCAGTTGCTACATGGTATAAGGTCACCCCAATGGACCATAAATCCACTGTTGCCCCAAAACTTTTCCCCACAGGCTTTCTCAATACAGCCCTCTCATACATATCTGGATGTAAATATTCTTCAGTGCCATATAATGAAACAAATTGTTCTTCTTCTTGCAATTCTCTTGCAGCACCAAAATCTGTTAACTTATATGTTGTAGTTCCATCCTCATTAATAAACTTCATTATGTTCCCTGGCTTTAAGTCTCTATGAACTAAATTATTATCACGTAAATGCTTCATTCCAGCAGTCAAATGTTCGAGGACCAGTAAAAACTCTTGCTCCTGTAGGCCATAAGTATTCTCAGGATCATCCAAAATATTAAACAAACTGCCACCTGTACAGAGTTCCATTACAATAACCTTTCCTCTGCCTTCTTGTTCCTCTTCAATAGCTAATAATTTAACAATATTTTCATGCTTTACTTTCTTTAAAACCTCGAATTCACGCATTTGAACATCGTGAGGTCTCATATGACTAAGTTGATTGAAAGTCTTAACTGCTACTGGTTCTCCATTATTTTTATTAACTCCTTGAAAAACAGCACCAGTAGCACCTTTGCCCAAAACGCTAGTTGTACACCACACAAAGTTTTCTGACCCTCTTAAAAATGACATTTTTATTTATTTTTCCTCAGAATAGCACAATTGTATATATCTTTTATTATTAAACCAACTTTACGTATTCACCTGTGTTTTCAATAACATTTAACTTTCATTTTTGGTAGTTTCTGCATAAATGCCTTTTGACGTTTAGCTTTAGTTAAATTGTTCATTTGACAACACCAGAGGGATCAGAAAAATGAAAATAAACTTATTAGATAAAAAAAAGGAATAAAATTCAAATACTATGATAAATTCTGCAAGAATATAAATATTATCCATGTATATTAAAATAAATTAGGGTGATCATAATGTTTAGAGATATAATTTTTTTTATGGACGTTTCACAGATTTTCATCGACTGTCACTACTCTATGAATTGAAGTATGAACTGTCATGAGTGTCAATGATCAATCATAAACATAAAGCCTAATATTTTATATTATTTACTGCGTCAGCCGTCAATTATTGAAATCATTGAATTCCTACTACTACAATAGTACTTATTCAATTCGATAACAATATCTAGTTGAAAGGATTGATTTGTGAAAAGAATAAATTTCCTAAAATATATGAAAAACAAGTGTCACTTTTAGTAATTTTGAGTACCTCAAATCTCAACTTTATTTTATGTATAACTTTCAGTTTACCTAGAAATGTAAGTAAAATTGTGATATTTAATTAACGAACTAACATAGTTTAAAAATAAGCGACTACTACGTTAGTTTTATTTTGTGATAATAATGCAATAACCTCATTGTTTTATATGTTATTTTTTTTTATATGCAAATAACGTAAATAAAAAGTAACTAAATACTTCACTGTAATTTATATTCCTGTATATTTTTATATTTTTTCTCGTCAGGTCATCAAAACATGTAAGTAGCTATAGTGAAAGACCTCGAAGTCGATCACTAGAACAGCGTCGAGAAACAGTACAGAGTAAAGAAAAGCCTAGATCGAGGTCTAAATCAAGTAAACGCAAGCATAAATCCACAAGCAGGGAACGGAAAAAGGAATCTAAACATAAGAAAACTAAAAAAAAGAAAAAGAAGAGATCACACAGCAGTAGCAGTTCTTCAAGTAGTAGTGACAGTGATGAGGAGGAACTAAAGTTGCTCCAGAGACTAGAAGCGGAACGATTAAGGTTGAAAGAAGAAAAAAAAAAGCAGAAAGAGCTATTAAAAGCTAATGAAACCCCTGAAGAAAAAAGGTATATATTTTTTGTATATTATGAAGTATTGTATATTAAAAATTTTTCTTTTTTTACACTACCCCTGGTTTTTATTGATCCAGATAATAACGATTATATTTTTTTATGTGATAATGTTTTTGGTTTTATTCCTTTTAGAGCTCGAAGACTTAGAGAAAAACAGGAAAAGGAGCGCAAAAGACGTGAGCGTATGGGCTGGGATAATGAATATCAATGCTATACAAATCAGGACAATCCTTTTGGGGACTCTGCCCTCACAAATACTTTTGTGTGGACTAAAAAGCTGGCTAAGGAAGGTGTTAAGAATGTCTCACATGACGAACTTGAGGCTCTGAATAGACAGAAGCAATTGGAAAATAAGATAGAGTTAGAAAAGGTATGTATATACATTTTTTTTTTACTGTTCCATATAATATTAGCTTTCCCATGTAAACTTCTATTATTTTCTACAAAAGGTATTTTTTAATAATATTGACAGACTCTATACTTCCATACTAATGTCCAAATTTAATATTATAAATGTGAAAGTGTGTGTTGTTTGTCTTTCTTTCACGTTGAAACGGAGTGATGGACTGGTGTGATTTTTGGTATGAAGATAGTTGGAGAACTGAAGAGTGACATAGACTACTTTTAATCGCAGGACATCATCTCCGTCCCATGGGAAAATATGTTGTAATACAATAAAAAAATATATTTCTGATTTGAATTACTTGAAACTCGGTATTAATGCTTTTCAATACAATTATATAAATACTTGTTTTAGCATTTTCCGAAATTCATTCTATAAAAGGGTAAAATAGGAGATCAAAGTTTGTATGAAACAAAGGTACCTACTTCTTTAGAGATTTTTTTTGTAGTTTCAGCGCTAGCGAAGCCGCAGGTTCTGTTAGTATAGTACAAAACATTAAATGGGATGTTACAACAAGTCAAATTCTTATATTGGATTATGTTATTTACATTACCTTTCTCTCTCTGTATTTCTCATATGACACGTGTTGTATATGACACATGTGAGCTTTTTTCTGAGCTTTATAATATGTGGCCTTGTGTGGCAGGTGAAGCAGCGGCGGCTGGAGCGCGAGGCGGAGCGCGCGGCGCGAGAGGCGGAGGCGGCGGCGGCGGCGCGCGCGCGTGAGGCGGCGCAGTTCAGCAGCTGGGCGCGCCACGAGGACGCCTTCCACCTGCACCAGGCGCGCCTGCGCTCGCAGATACGCATACGCGACGGCCGCGGTACGCACGCCTACGCTTGTTATATACCTGCAGTCAGACATTGTCCTGTCTCTATTTTAATTCATTTATTTATGGATTTTGATTTGATAATACAAAATTATACATTCAGTTTTTTTATGAACTAGGAAATTTCTTTAAAAAACTTTTCTCGGTTTAACATTATTATTAGAAAAAGAATAAACAAATTTAGATAAATAAATCCATCCATTTTTAAGTGATGTGCTAGCTAGAAACATTATTTCATTTTTATTATATAAGTAGTAAAAGATATAATTTATTTCCAGCTAAGCCTATCGACCTGCTGGCCTGGTATGTGAGCTCAGAGCAATGTGTCGACGCTTTGGAAATGCACGAGCCGTATACTTACTTGAACGGATTGCACGCACAGGACTTAGAAGATTTGCTGGAAGATATCAAGGTATAGTACTGTTGAAATATATTTAATAGTGGTCTGTTTTATATGTATACTAGCAGAACCCGCGGGTTCGCTCGCGCTAAAACTACAAAAAAAAAACTCTAAAAAGGTAGGTTTCATACAAACTTTCATCCCATATTTTACCCATTTATGAGATGAATTTTGAAAAATGCTAATACAAGTATTTATTTAATTGTATTGAAGAGTATTAATACCAAGTTTCAATTAATTCTGATCATAAATATTTTTTTGGGTTGTATTATAACGTGTTTTCCCGTGGGACATGCAAACCAAAAAAAATTATAAAAATGTTTAAAGTTATAAAATATTGTAATGTACTTGGTGCGATTTTTCATTTTGTTATATGTGGGTAGGCTGTCTGTAACAACTATGCCTTTGAGACATCTAACACCTCAGTCTCTCCCGTGACCATGATTGCTGTAAAGCATTCGAAGCGTCGGGAACCAAAAATTAAAATAAATGCGCGAAATAATCCGAAAAGATAGCCAATAGCAATCGGGGGGCAGACGCGGTTAACCGCTTTAGGGTTAACGGATACTATATCGGAACTGTTCGTCTTAAAAATTAATATTATCGACAATCCTAGTAGTTGCATCAAATAGAAAGATCGCCTACTGTGAGGAATTCCATAGCATGATATTTGTATAAATTTTTTGTTAAAATTGTTGTGTCTGTGTGCAGGTGTACAAGGAGCTGGAGGGCGCGGGCGCGGGGCGGTACTGGGAGGACGTGCAGACCATCGTGCGCGACGAGCTGGCCAAGCTGCGCCGCGCCGCCGCGCCCGGCGCGCGCCGCGACGGCGTGCACCGCGCCGTGGCCGACGACGTCACGCAGGTGGTGCCGACTTCCTTTTGCTAGATTGTCATAGACATTTTTTTGACAGAAAACTCTTAACTAAACTTCGCCCGACTTGGAACTGGAACCCGGGAACTCTGGGTCTGCAGCTGTACATGCTAGTGACTTCACCATCGAGGTAGTTGATAAGTTATATTTTAATATGGAGGTAGTGGCGGTGATAGCCCAGTGGTAACGTGCTCGCTTGGAAAACCGAGTGCCGAGTGAAGTGGAATCAAATCCCGACTCTCGCACCTCTGATATTTTCATGTGCAAATCATTTCCAAAATTCAAAATCCTTTGTCTAGTGAAAACATCGTGAGGAAACCTGCATGTCTGAGGGAACCTAACAAGTTTTCGAAAGACATGTTAAGTCCACCCGCACTTGGCCAGCTTGGTGGAGTATGGCTCGTATTAGGGGACCTGAGTCCAGCATTGGGATGTTAAAAAGGCTGAATACGTGGAAGTACAGATGGTGTTGTCCAGAATTCCATCTTCATACAAACGGTCGGAAATCGAGTTATACCTACGCGCGTCGCGTTCGGTATACACTCGGTAGACAACCGTGCGGGGCTGCCAGATCGTATAGTTGGATACGAAAATTGTATAAGATGGTTATGTTATGTAACTTTTATAATTTGACACAAAAATAAACATTTTATTCCTTCCGTAACTTCGCTAATGTCAAACAAAAAAGTATCGAGACATCGTAGGTTTTAAAAATAAAAAATAATTAATTAAATTAAAAATAAAAATTAAAGTATTTTTAATTAAACTTTTTATCTGAATGCGAAATTCTTTATACCATTAAATATAACAATAAAGCTTTTCGTACGTCTCACTCGAGGCGCAAATATTTTTAAATCTCAAATTTATAAGGGTCACATACCACCCTTATAAATTTGAGATTTTTTAATTAAATCTACTAATAATAGTTTTTATATAAAATATATAATATTTGAAATCGCAAAACTTGAAAGAAACTCAAGTAGATAGATGAAATTAAGATACCGTCCGGCGGGCACTCGGGCAGCCCTATCGCGTGGGTACGTGCCGCTCGGCTGTAGGTAATTATTTCAAGGACAGGCCCGAGTTGCAATACTGTATGCATTACATTACTGTGTGTTGTTGTGTGTGTCAGATCTTCAAGGGCAAGTCGGGCGCGGCGCTGGCGGCGCTGCAGGAGGAGATCGAGCGCAAGATGAGCGCGCGCCGCGACGGCGTGGACGTGCCCTACTGGGAGAGCCTGCTCAGCCAGCTCAAGGGTACCCTCCACATCATATACTCAACTATATTACTAAACATACGATGAACCTTTACAATATGTTCTCATGTCATCGATTCTTAGAACTTTATTCTTTTCTTTGTTTTGTCTGTCTGTTAGTTCTTTAGTTCTTATGTGGTATTTATAGTATACTGTATTTCAATCACAAATAGTGGTAATAGTATTTAATCACAAAAAGTAGAAATACTATTTAATAATAGTATTTCTTTGGGGTATGAATTTTCATATCTCTTAACATGAACACTGACGGGTTGGTTACTCACCTCTATTTTATCCCCTAAAGATTTACTTTTACAACAAAAGAGAGCCTATATTCTCCAAGGTTTAGTCAATCTCTATACAAAAATTTATTAAAATTAGTTTAGACGCTTAAATGTAAAAACATAACAAAAAAAGCCGACTTATTTTTACATTTACAATGTGTGTGTGTGTGTGCAGCGCACATGGCGCGCGCGCGCCTGCGCGACCGCCACCAGCAGAACCTGCGCCGCAAGCTGCAGCTGCTCAAGCGCGAGCAGGGCGTGCAGCCCGCGCCCGCCGCCGCTGCCTCCTCCGCCGCCGCCTCCTCCGCCGCCGCCTCCTCTGCCGCCGCCGACGACGACGACGACGCCGCCGCGGGGTACGACATCTCTATCAACTCGTTATTCTTTATATGTAAATATTTGTATGATATCACATTTTACAAGGTTGCTATAATCCAAACAGGTCACAGGAGCCCGTAGAGAAGACGGAGCCGGAGGACGCGCCCGCGGCGCCGCCGGAGGGCGAGCCGGAGTCGTCGGACAGCGAGGCGGAGGCGTGGGGCGCGGCGCAGTACGCGGCGGGCGGCTACTCGCCGCGGCCGCTGCCCGCCGCCGCGCTGGAGCCCGGCACGCTGCTGCTGGACGCGCGCGACGACGAGCGCCGCCTGGCCTACCTGCGCGCGCGCCTGCACGCCCGCGCGCGCCCGCCGCCCGCCCCCGCGCCCGGCCCCGCGCCCGCCCCCGCGGGCGGCGACGCGCTCGAGGCGGCCGCGCGCCGCTCCATGGGCGCGGGCGGCGGCGCGGACGGCGAGGGCGCGCAGTTCAGCGTGGAGCACGCGCTGCCCGACCAGCCCTGCCTGTGGGCGGACAAGTACCGCCCGAGGAAGCCCAGATACTTCAACCGGTACGTTTGTTTAACTATTTGTATTTTATAAAATTGATATAATATGTTCAAAGTTACATTGTAGTAATATTTATGGTAAACTTATTGTTACCGCACAGAGTGCACACGGGCTTCGAGTGGAACAAGTACAACCAGACGCACTACGACATGGACAACCCGCCGCCCAAGATCGTGCAGGGCTACAAGTTCAACATCTTCTACCCCGACCTCATCGACAAGCAGGCCACGCCGGAGTTCTCGCTCGTGAGTAAACACGTATAACACACACACACACTCACTACAAAATATTACTTTACTCAATTTAGAACAAATACTGTTGAATCCTTTACTTAATTGAGAAAGTCTGTATAGTCCATAAGAAATTTTAGATATACTCAAGCACATAAAAAAATAACTTTTTAAATTTTCGCGTTCCATAATTATATAGTAATTACACTACGGGACAACGCGTGAATTCGTAAGTGCCGATTTACCTTATACCCGATGTTTCAATTGAGTTGCACCAGCCGTGGTCGCAGGCTGCCCGTTTTGCGTTTCAATCCCGTGGTGTAATTATTATATACATACATTAAAAAAAAAAACTTTTTAGAGACATAATTTAGATCTTATGACTTTATTTTTATTTCTACAATTCAGTATTGAATTTTGATGAATGAATCATATATTACACAATATATTATAACGTTACCATAAGGATACGACCTTTTAGTCACCACTATATAAGTGATATAGACACGCTAGTTACACGAAGCTCCCTTTCGCTTCCCGCAGAAGCCCTGCCCCGAGAACCCCGAGTTCGCCGTGCTGCGCTTCCACGCGGGCCCGCCCTACGAGGACATCGCCTTCAAGATCGTCAACCGCGAGTGGGAGTACTCCTACAAGCGCGGCTTTCGCTGCCACTTCCACAACAACATCTTCCAGCTGTGGTTCCACTTCAAGAGATACAGATACAGGCGATGAGCTGCTCACCCGCTTCGTACCATTTATTTTTGTTTCCTATCTATGGTCCCATTCCCGTAAATCAGAATTAAAAACTATACATATAGTTATGGTTTTTTATTTTAGGTGTATAATGTTTACCATGCTTTGTGCTTAAACTGATTGTAAACAAAAAAATATTGAGCCAAAGAAATCTATACTAACATTATAAACAGTTAAAGTTTGTGAGTTTGTGACATTGTAGGGGGTAATCTCTGGATCTACTCAACCGATTTAGATGAAATTTGGTAAGGAGATAGTTTGAGACCCTGGGAAGGACATAAAATACATTTTATCCCGGAAATAATCTTTTAAGAGGGTGAAAATGAGGATGAAAGTTTGTATGGGGAATCAAGCTAGGGTCGAACCAGAGCGAAGCGAGAGTGATCGTTAGTAATAATATAATTATTACATAAATACTTCACGCTCTATCCCTTGGGCGATAGGCATAGAGAACAGTGCCAAGAGCTACAACATCTTCATACCTCTTTCGCCTCTCATTGTCATCATACACTTTATATTGATGGGTCCTCAGATTTGACCTTAATTAAATATTAAAAATATTTGGAAAAGAAACATTTTTTTAGCTTTTGTTGTAGAAAAATAAGTTTAAAAAAGGAAATACTTGCAATCCTTTTAATCAAATCTCACCTCAGCCATGTCCCACTACACATTTCTCTCAGAGAGGACAGATTATCCATAATGCATTTGTATTATTTTTTTACTTTTTAAATAAATCTATACCTACATATAATAAAATTATAACTAAACCAAATCTGTACATTAAATATTTTTTGGAAAATCTTATTGAAATAAACATTATTATCGATACAGAGGCCGAATCTATAGTTTTTAGAATTTTTGTCTGTCTGTTATCGCATCACAGAAAAACCACTGGAGGGATTTTGATGAAATTCGGTATGGTGATCGCTGTTGATCCAGGTCAACATATAGGATACTTTTTACCGCGGGAAAATGCCTCATTTCTGAAAAAAAAAAACAAAAACTGCAATGTAAGAGTATACTAATAACTAAATCCTATGAATTTGGTTTGTGGTCATCTGAACGCGGGCGGAGCCGCGGGTAATGCTAGTTATCCCTATATAATTTATTAAACAAACAATAGAAACTACAAGGTGTATCATTGAGTTTTGATATCTCTTTTTTAATTTCCTATATTGCATGTTATTATGATACCCTATTAGGATTTCTATTCCTTGTGTCTGTCTATAACAGGCTACTTTTGATAGATCTATGACTTGAAAATAGGTATTTATTAGTTTTTAAAATTTAGGGCCCAAATTAGAAAGATAAATAAATATTCAATATCATCCTTATTTGTTTTATTTATATGAGAAATATATTATTTTAAATGTTTAATTCAACACAATTTCTGAATTTTAAGAACACATTTAGTTCATATAAAAAAACTGTTGATATTTGAAGAAGTTACAATTAATAATATGTAGGTATATATCTGCTATACAGTTAAACAACTTCGGCATTTACCAAAAAAAATATTGATAGGGTAATAAGATACTAAAATCTTTTAATCATCTATAATTAAGTTACATTAAAAGAGATAATGACTTGAAACATTTATGTATATTTTTCATTATTTGCACTTTATTTAATATGCATTATCAACAACTCATTCTTTCTTGGGTTGATCATCTGATTGGTTAACTACTTCTTCAGCCACAGGATTGCCTCTGAAGTTGGGGAATTGTTCCCATGGTGCACTTAACTCAAACCGTCTAAATTCTTGTGCCAACTCTAGAGGTTCCACAACAACTCTCTTCTGCTCATCATCATAGCGAAGCTCTACATAACCACTAAGTGGGAAATCTCGTCTGAATGGATGTCCTTCAAACCCATAGTCAGTCAAAATTCTTCTTAAGTCCGGATGGTTAGCAAAGAAGACTCCATACATGTCCCAAATTTCTCTTTCATACCAGTTCGCCGCTTTGAAAACTTCGCAAGCCGAATCAATTGGTGTTAATTCATCAGTGTATGTTTTTACTCTAATTCTGGTATTGTAACGGAGAGACAGTAGGTTGTAAATAATTTCGAATCTATGAGGGCGGGTAGGAACATCCATACCGGCAATGTCCACTAAACTAGCAAATTGTGCATTATGATGATCTTTCAGGAATTGGAGGACGGGAATAACACCGTCTGATGGAATCAAGACTTCTAATTCATTGCCTGCTGTAATTTGTACCTTCTGCACGTATTTTGGCATACATTCTGCGACATATTTACCAAAGTCAACCAATTGAGATTTCTGCAAAGGGTCTAATTTAGCTACAGTGGGTCGAGTCTCAACTTGAAGTGCGGCTTGGTCAGTTTTTGTAGCAATTCGTTGAAGCACTGGGTATTGGTTATTGCTAAGTATTGCACGGCCAAGGTTGCGGCCAGCACCAAGGGTGCGTTTTAAGATGAAAGACATCGTTTGTTAATTATTATTTCGTTTAACCTTACGTAATTTCGTTTCAATCGAATGGAAATTATGTTTTAGTTATAAATGTCAACATTTGATATTAGTTATGTCAATAATCAATTTGACGTTGACATAATTTACAAAAAGCAATCTGAAACACGTCCCGTATGTACCAAATTATTTAATTAGAAATTTATTTTCACACAAAATTCAATCAAATATTTTTATATAGTCTAATCTTAGCTCTTATCTTTAATTAAAACCTTTATCTAAATATATCCATTTTGTATTCAAAGTTACATGTAGTAACACTTTAGGAGCATTGTATGATTGTATTACAATTACAAAATAATGTCTGGATTTTATATGTTATCTATATTCTATACTCACAATGTCAAGATTTGCCGGATTTGTAGTTGTTTTTATTTTGTAAGGTAAATGAAGAATTTTAATTGAATTAAATAGAATCTAGAACATTTTTATGTATTAATAGACTTTAGATTAAAATAATAATAGTTTTATAGGAAATAGTTGCACTATTATAGCGTATTTGTTTCTGAGCAAAGATTAAAGGTTTAATCATTATTATAATATTGAAGTTTGAAATGTAGTTTATATTGTAAAATGCTGCTAAACAATTCGTTGTTTTATATGTATGGTAGCTTCATAGGAAGTAAATTTAAATGTTCACTTTTGTTTGAATTTAGTGTCACAAAAGCTTCAATTATGAACTTGCTTAAATTTTTACCCGACTGCGGCGAAGTCTAAAGGAGGGTTATGTGTTTAACCTGTATGTATGTATATCCGATCTTATGTTGCTTCGTAATTACTAAACGGCTTAACCGATTTTAATGGTGAAACTATGGTCCTTCGTCAAGTTGTGCTCATCTTTTTAGTTCGCTTTGTATGCAGTGGGGTTTTTTATTTTTCTATATTGTTTTTCAAAAAAATTGCTACATTTTCATTTACCAGATAAAGTGAAGAACGAAAATGGATGAAGAAATAGTTAAGTTAAAATCAGTGCTGAAATCGCTTGTAGTATCCAGCCCAACACAAGTAGATGTCCGTACACTAATGAAGGACTACCGAAACATGGTGGGGTCCCATTTACCAATAGCTAAATTTGGGTATAAGGATCCCACTTCATTCCTCAAGGAACGATGCAGTGATAGTTTCATGGTAAATATTATTTAATGTACATAAAGTCTAATAATTGTAAAATAAAAACATTTGAATTTTTTTTAATATACTAAAAAGTTATGCATTTTATATGTATATTATTTGTTTTGTGTACAATGTAAATATAACAAAATTGATAATTGTTTTGATTTTTACTTTTCAGCTCCAAGGCCCAGCAGCAAATCCTACATTGACATTAATTGTGTCAGAATCCTTAAAGCATATAGATAAATTTGTACAAAAGCAGAAAACATCAGCCATGGTCAAAGTGTAAGTAAAACTGAACCCTCACACTATAAATGTATATAAAATATAAATGTAATACATACAATATATATCTATCAATATTGTTAGTCAAGTGCATAATCTTAATCTTACTGATATTATAAACATGAGTGTGTGAAGTTGTTTGTATAAACAAAACTCATATGTAAACCTTTCAATCAATTTGGTATTCAAATAGCTAATACACCATGTTCTGGGTCAATACATATGTATCTTATTGTTATAACTTCATTGGTTCCCATGGAATTTTACTTTGTTGCAAAAATGTATTGTGGTATGTGTTGATTATAGGAAAGGTAAACGGAGAAGTATTGCACAGTCTACTGTAAAACCACCTGAGATAAATCTCATTACAAAAAGTTTCATAGATAAGAAAGAGAAAGAAAGAAAGAATGTTCATGAAAATATAGATGCAAACAAAAAACAAAATATTGTTAATGGAAATGCTAAAATTGATAAACCAGCAAATAGTTCAACACAAAATCATAGTCCAAAACAGGTATGTAGTACATTAAAGCCATGTTTTTTAAAATAATGTACTAAATGCAAACAGTAATCTATTTTTATTATTTTTCAGGACCATGATCAGCCGTCTAATGTTAAAGACAATCGTATAGCGGAAAATAATAATTGCCCTCAAAGTGCTTTACACAACTTTCTTAAGAAAAGAACTGCTCTGTACAGCTCTAGTCAGTCTGTCAGTGACTCTGGTGAGAAAGAAGACTGTGACTCCGGGCGGCAGACATCATCCAGTATGTGTTTTCTTAAAATATAAAAAAATTGTTTTTATAACAAGGAAAAGTAATAAGTAAGTGTCTGTGTACTTATGTACACACATAAAAAGTTACACTTCTTTGGGTTTTTAGAGAATTTAATTATTTTTTTTAAATTAAACTTTATTAATGTTATTTACTTTTTCTTTGCATTCTTCTCAGCAAACCCTTTCATTTCATATCCATATCATGGAGGTGCGTAAAAAAATAGTCCACCACCTTTGGGAGTCCCTTATATTGGATTTACAATGACATCACTTTGCTTATTGTGTTTTACTCATATAAGCCTCTTCATTTGATGCCTATATCATTATGGAAATGATAAGTCTCCATTTTTTAACATCCGCCATATTGTATTGAAAATGGCAGCATTTAAGTAATCGTGCATTTTCAAGACAAGAACCAAATGTATGTGCCAAATTTCAGGTTAATCGGACACTGGGAAGTGGATCTAAGATTTGATTACAGACAGGCACCGGAACTTCAAACTGTAGCCAATGACTACTAACTTTACACTGTAGTCTAAATCTGTCGCATTGTAAAAAATTCACTCTCATAATTCATTTTTCATAACGCGTCAAAAGAAGTATAACTTCAAAACACAAAACAGTCTTTCATTCTTTTGTATTTATTATAATATTAGTACATTATTTATGTAATTATTTGTGTTATTTATGTGTCAATTATATTTTATAGAGTAAATCTTAAAATGTTTGTTCAAGGTTCAAGCAGTAGTAAAAGGATGCAATTAGAAGAATTGAAAAAGGAAATAATATTAATTATAAATGATTATCCCGATGGAGTGTGGTGCACGGATTTGTTAAGGCTATATAGGTATGTCAATTGCTTTATTGTTTACTAGCGACTCACCTTCGTTTCATTCGGGTTCGTCCCTAGCTTGCTTCCCCATACAAACTTTCGTCCCCATTTTCCACCCCCTTAAGGGATAATTAGCCGGATAAAAAGTATCCTATGTCCTTCCCAGGGTCTCAAACTATCTTGTTAAAAAATTTCATCTAAATCGGTTCAGTAGATCCAGAGATTACCCCCTACAACATCACAAACTCATAAACCCACAAACTCACAATATCACAAACTTTACTTCTTTATAATACTTGTATTAGTATAGATTTATATAGGGGATTAAAGGTGTTTAGCTTATTATGGGTCAGTATAGATATTGAGGTAGCTTTGAGTCAATATGTATTATATATTGCAATAATATAATGTACAGAAAGAATATATTTATGTGTCATGGCTGAATGATGTAAATTATTAAAATCTCATGTGTCAGTTCTATATATAAAAAGGTAAATACAAAACAGTTCCATAATATTATGTAAAAATTTTCAATTTGATCACAGGGCAGACACTAGTAAAGCATTATTATATAATTTAAAAAGTTTTATTTAAACAATAATAATGTTTATATTTAGCATTTCTTTAAAATCACAATCACAGATATATAATCTTTGTGAATATTTTGGGTGTGTAGTGTAATTAAAATAATGAATGTATTCCAGGGAGCGCTACAAACGCGAGCTGAACTTCTCTCGTTTCGGGTACACGAGCATCCTGAGCCTGGCGTGCGCGCTGCCGCACGTGCGCGTGGCGCGGCAGCCGGGCGGCGACTGGCTGCTGAGCGACGCGGCGGCGCCCGCGCCGCGCCCGCCGCGCGCGCCCGCGCCGCGCCGCGCGCGCTCGCACGCCGACCCGGAGGACGCTCTGCCCGGCATCGATTTTGTGAGTCCTCTATATTAATATACCACTAAACTTATGTGAGCAATTTACTGCATTTCGAAGTGCTATTCTCATTCTACTTATCACGCCTAAAATCGTCATCAGGTTTTTACCTGTTTTTTATGAGACTGACTTAAAGTTATTACCTTTAAAATAAAAAAAGAACCATCATAATCGGGTTTCATATGGCGGAAAGATCCAGTAGCCCCCTTTTAGCCCCTTTTTGGAGGAAACACCCCTTCAATCAAATATCCCTGATGACAAAAAAACTATTAAGTCATGATACTCGTATAACAAGTTTTATCTAGATCAGTACATACGACTTGTAGAGGAGTACCAACAAACTGACAAAGGAAAGTAATTTTTTCCAGATTTGAAGCAGAGACGCTTTGCTCGCTGGGTCAATTGATTATATTGTAGCATGTTGGAACAAATTACATATAACGTAAGTCTGGGCCGGCAGGACGAGGACGTGTTCCCGGCGGACTGCGTGCACTTCCTGGAGGGCGTGCCGCGCGTGCGCGCCGCCGAAGCGCCAGGCGACATGGTGGAGGTGGTGGTGGCCGAGGTGTACTCGCCCTCGCACTTCTGGCTGCAGCGCCTCGGCCCCGCGCACAACCTCGCCATGGAGGACATCATGGACGAGATGAAGTGAGTACTGCGATGGCTGACGGTCACCGTTGTTGACGGCTTAAAGGGAATTTATACTAACATTTATTTGAAAGAAGAATATTTTTAATAGATTTGAAATATAGCTCTATTCACAAACATCAAAATAGTTCCAAGTGTTATTGTATGAGTAAAGGTACATGTTGCTATTACGAACCTGTAAACTTTTCCATGCTTCACTCGAGTGTGCTCTTAGACATACTTTCATCTAAAGTGTTATTTGTGTACTAAATCCCACAGCCAGTACTACAAGTTCGGCGAGGGGCGCACGCGCACGCTGGCGCCGGGCGCCGTGCGCGTGGGCCACTACTGCAGCAGCTGCTACGAGGGCGACTGGCACCGTTCGCTCATCGTCAAGATCGTCGACAGCGACACCGTCAAGGTACCGCCCACACCCCACGGACACCAGCCTCGGGCTCGTCCCTACTTATAAACGTAATTTTCATATACAGCCAAATTTGGCCAGCGCAAGCCGGTAAAGAGGCTATTTGGCGCATTTTACGCTGACTCGACTTGCAAATATTTATAAAATTAAAAACTTTTAAATCAAAATAAAATATAGTCTTTGTCAGTCGAGGATAGTGTAGCTTTCTATGAGTGAATTTTTTTTTGGAATCGGTTTACTGGCCTCCCTCGCTTCTCTCGGGTTCGACCCTAGGGGCCTAGCTTGCTCCTCCATACAAACTTTCAATCTCATTCTCACCCCTTTAAGGGATAATTTCCGGGATAAAAACTATTTCTCTCACTCACTTTTCATATGATGAGATTTAAAAAAATCTTATTTTAGTAAAAAACAAGCTTGGCCTGACAATAACGAATACAAAAAAAAACTATTATCTATTTTGGTGCAGTCTATCGGAAGTTATGCGCGTACATACATTTCGATGATGCATGTTTATTTATATAAATATACAAACAAAGTTTACCTCTTTATTACCTATACATGTAATAAAATCGTAACTAAGCCGAATCTGTACATTAAATATTTTTTGGAAAATCTTATTGAAATAGACTTTATTATCGACACGGAGGCCGAATCTATAGTTTTTAGATCTTTTGTCTGTCTGTTACGGCATCATAGAAAAACTACTGGAGAGATTTAGATGAAATTTGGTATGGCGATAGCTAGTTATCCGGGTTAACATATAGGATACTTTTTACCGCGGGAAAATATCTCATATCTGAGAAAAAAAATACAAAAACTGCAATGTAAGAGTATACTAATATGTAAAACTTAAGAATTTGGTTTTTGGTCATCTGAACGCGGGCGGAGCCGCGGACAATGCTAGTTATAGTATAAAGATGTACGGATAAAATAGACAGTCTTAACAGTAGTGGCAACCGTCCACCGTTGGTATGACAAGGACCAGGCGATCATAAGTGCTAAGGAGTGTATGTAATAAGTTGTTCAACAATGAGCACTCTTCGCGGCCCGTGGTCCCTTAGTACTCGTGACAAAAGTACCAGGCGAGCATAAGTGTTGAGGAGTGTATGTTGTAAGGAATTTGTGTTCACTCTGTGCAGGCTTCTTTTATATGTCGATCGATATGGTTGTAAAAATTCGGAAAGGTAGTTTAGACAAAATATAGAATCCTATCTCGTTTCTGGTCATATGGTTGTAGTAATGTTCCCATACGTACCTAGTCCTCCACCATTAGGATGCGTTTGATTAAATCGAGGCGTAAATTTAATTTCGATTTGACTTGGAAATATTTATTAAGTTAAAAAAGGTATTATAATGAAAATGTGCGTATTATACAATACGAGGTGGCGGTGCGCAGGTGCGGCACGTGGACTACGGCACGGTGGAGCGCTGCGCGGCGGCGGAGCTGCGGCCGCTGCGGCGCGAGTGGGCGGCGCTGCCGGCGCAGGCGCAGCGCGCGCGCCTGGCTGCCGCGCGCCCCGCCGCGCGCCGCTGGCCGCGCGCCGCCGCGCTCGCCTTCCTGCACCTCGTGCGCGCGCGCCGCCTCGTGGCCAACGTGGTGGCCGCGCACGCCGAGCGCGACGAGCTCGAGGTGCTGCTCATCGACACCTCCGGCCCCGACGACCGCTGCATCGCCGCCGAGCTCGTGCGCGCCGGCCACGCGCTGCACCGCCCCGACGCCGCGCTGCACGTGAGTACCGCCCTCGGCTCCGACGACGACACCGACGTCTGCAGCGACGACTCGGCCTCGGCCTCGGCCTCGCAGGTGGCGCCGGGCGCCGCGCCGCGCATGCCGGCCTGGGTCTGCGACGAGGACGACGCGCGTGCCGCGTGGCGCCGCGTGCGGGCGCTGCGCGCGCGCGTGCGGCCCCCCTCGCCCCCCTCGCCCCCCGCGCCCTCGCCCCTCGCGCCTTCGCCCCCCACGCCCGCGCCCCCCGCGCTGGCGGCGTACGCCAACATACTACAACGACGACGCGAGCTGTTCAATCAGCTGAAAAAGTAACAGTCGTCAATTAAGCCCGCCGCTGTGTCGAGCCGTACCTAATACAGTATTGACTGTATCTTAGAAATTTTTGAGCGGAATAAATATTTTTAAATATGTACGCTTCATATATAACTAACAAACGGTTTTCCATTATATGTTTTGTACTTTATAAACGATCACTATGTGTAATCGGTGAGCAATGTGCTCTTAAATTATGTTCGTCTTATTGTTTATACACTCATGAACGATTTTCCAAAGAGGTGATCGTTTTCCTCTTTTTAAATTAAATATATATAGGCATAGGTATATTATACTGTTCCAGACAAAAACATTAAGTTTAGTATTAAGACTTTTTCCCTAGATAATACGATGGCTTTGACTTACAGTAGGAGAACATGCGATCGACTTTTATTTGAATATGCTCACCTTATGAATCTTTATATAATATATGTATGTATATATAAATTTAAAGTAACTATTTTCTGCGGCCATATTTGATGTAAAGCATTCGAACCGTCGTAAACAAATCGTTATAATAAAGTCGCGTGAAAATCCGAAAAGATAGTTTTATTTTAAAGTTTACTTACTTTTACATTAATTCTTTACATTTTTTTTTCCACAAACGGCTCATAACAGATTATAAAAATTACAAAGTAGCTAATAATATAAGACTTATTAGATTTATATTGTTAGATTTTGTAATTTAATTTGTTTATGCCATATTTTTTTATATGGTCATCAAATGCAGGCAACCATTTTAAAATTTAAAAGTTTATTTCACACCATAAAAGTCCTGGACAAAGTTTGTCTTGACATTACATAATGTCCTTCTGACCGAACTTTTGGTTACAAAAGCCAATCTAACTGAAACTAGATATGGGACTAAGGGGGCAAACGGGCAGGAGGCTCACCTGATGGAAAGTGATCATCGCCGCCCATGGACATCTGCAACACCGCAGGGCTTGCAGATGCATTGCCGGCCTTTAAGAAAGGAATACATATATAGGAATAGATATGAAGAAGTAACACCATTAAGTTCCCAACTTTGCTGCTGATGCTACTAAGAATTTCTTAACAGAATAATCTGATCATTCTTCAGACCTGCCGGCTTACTAACGACAGCTTCGAGTTCTGAATCAATCGAGTTTAACTCGATTTTGCTAGGATTAGTACCCTTGAAATTGACATCAGCGCACGATCGTGTAGTGGTTCGAATTGGAACTAACTACGATCGAGAACGGCCGTTTCGATAGAAAAGTCTTACTCCCCACTCAATCGGACTGCTGTGGTATCGAGTTTTAGGATCAATCTAATGTCAAATTTGACGATAGCGAAAAAAGTATTTTTTTGGATCGAGTGTGGATATTTATCTATATAAATGACATGTTATGCTGAAACTATACATTATATGCCTATAAATAATAATTTATGCAACAGACAATTATTGTCCTGTAATAAGAAATAAGCAGTTACGTGATAGATAGATAGAGCTATAGCCAGCGACAATATCTTTTCCAAATATTGTGATGCAATACACATTAGTTTTTGAATTAATGTTTTATTTACATGGTAATAAAATACGTATTTGTAATAAACATTTTTATTTTACACTTGATACATCCAATTTATAGTGTTAGACGAATCTCATTGTTTCTGCTACTTTCTGCCCTTCCAGTAGAGTGGGTTTGTATATCATCCCTTGTTTTCTCTTTAATCTGTAACTATATTATAACAGTTACGGAGTAATTATTACCAATACATTACTGTACGGACATCATATAGGTGTAATGCATATTTGTTTTAATATACACAAATAATATACTTATATTTACCGAAGAATACTTAAAATTAAGCAACATTATTACTGCATAGATATACAAATGAAAGATATTCATTTTAACTTTTACTGTAACTTTAGATTATAAAGTCTATATGTGCGTGAATAAATGGTTATGTTTAATAGTTTATGTTAATATACTTTTTTTTTTAATTAAATTCTAAAAGTTTTACTAGGCGCATCACTATTCAACCGCTTCATCTACATGTATATATTAATAGGTGTGTATAGAACATCTACTTACGTTTCGCATAATGGACAATGAGCGAAACGCGCGCTCTATAGCATATGTATACTCTAAGATTAAAACACTAGGGAATCATCTTCAACAAAAAAAGCTAATTATATAACGTTTTTTTTTGTATTTACGTCAATAAAGGTATTATTATATTATATATTATTTTTTATACATTAGAAAGAATTTGACCATAGATTCACAGCAACCGTATACAGTTAACGGCGCTGATAACACTCGAACGTAAGTCGATTTCGGTTTTGTTTCGATTCGGTTCGGGAGTAAGGCAGCCGGATCGAGTTCGAGTCAAAAATAAATTCGATTCAAAAACAAAATCGAATTCGAATCAGTTTAAAGAGTAAGCCGGCTGATCTTGGGCTTGGATCCGAATCTCCTGATGTGTAGTCGTATAAGTTGTTGGTAATTGGTTTGTCAGCGAGATTGATCGTGCAAATCAAATTTGGTCAGAATGACATTATCTATATAGAATAACTAATATTTTTATATATAGAATACGTAATATTTTTATATACAGAATATGTAATATTTTTCCCAAAAATAATTAAATTTCTCGGCTAATATTATCCACATTTTTGTATGATTAGCAGGATTTAGTTTCATTAATTATTTTTTTTAATTTCATGTAAACAATTATGTTTTTTTTTATAGATTCAGTAATTGTACAAAACTTTAAAAAGCTGAGATATCTTATTTAGTTTAAATTTGAACCTTTTGCCTCTGAATAAGAGGATTTCTGAAATTTCAATTAGACCCGTTGACCGTTATGGTATGACTTGGCGGGTCCGTGGCCGCACCACTAACCGCCTCCCCGGCTGCTTGCAGACGGCGGAGTGCTACCTGTTACCCACCTTCTCCGCGCTGGAGGCCGGCGACACGCCCTCCTTCGCCGAGCTGCACGCGCTGCAACAGGGCGGCCTCGCGCCCGACTGCGTGCCCGACTACCGCCGCCACGTGCCGCCGCTGCTGCCCGCCGACGACGACTCCGCCTCCTCCTCCGACACCACCCCCTCCGCGCCCTCCACCCCCTCCGCGCCCTCCACCTCCTCCGCGCCCTCCGCGCCCTCCACGCCCTCTGAGCCCGACATCGACGTACCGCTATCATTCGGCATCAAAGCCGTAGAACATTTACCAGCACGCCCCTCCCTGTCTCCCTGCATATCTCATTCTTCCCCTCCACTCCCCAAGCCGGAGCATCGATTCACCCCGCGATGCAACCCGCCCCCCAGACATAACATAGCTTTCCCGCCGATGTACGCGCCGCCCGCCCCACACTTCGGCTATGTCCCTCCACCGGCACCGCTTTTTGTTCCAAACACTATGGAACCGTCGCGTCCCTTCATGTATGTGCCTCAAATACCCATGCCGTATGGTATAGAGAACAAGCAGGAGGGGGTGTCTCTGTCGGCCGCGGACTGCGAGGCCTTCACGCTGCTCAGCAGGGTGGACCCCGCCGCCGCACAGCGCTTCATGCTCGAGGCGATATCCCGCGCCACACGCGGGCCCCCTCGCACAGCCCACAACCCTGTCGCCACCCCCAATCCGTACCGAAACCCCTCTCCCCATCCGAACGCTTTCCCCAAAGTGCCGACGCAATCCACGAGCTCGCTAAACCCCAACGCGGTAGAGTTTAAGATGGTGACGACGGAAACACAAACAGACAGTACTTCCTTGGTCAGTTCCCTCTCGTACGGCAGCCTGTCGCTAGGCGAGAACGGCGCCGTGCGGCCGCCGCCTGGCTTTGAAAATTAACGCTAGATTTAGAAAGCGCTTAGATTTTGATAAACGCGAATAAGGATTTTTCGAGTCCTATTTAGGCAATACTTTTAGTATTCTTCCTTTAAAAAATCCACCAGAACACCGTTTCTGGAATGAAAGAATCTCCAAATAGATATCTAAAACGCGTAAATGAAAGTTGTAGCTAGAAACGCTAGGATTTGATTAAAGTTAGGGTTTAGTAAGTCTATACACACTAAGTACCTCAATTTTCATTCTATTTAATTTGTAGCATTTACCAAATGCTTTTGAAGATATCTCAGCTTTGATCACTCTATGATTGTTTAAGATTTAAAATGGTGCAGTGTCATGATTAGAAATTAATAAACTAATAGAAATTTGTTTAAAAAATAAAGAATAAAGTGCAACCATCTTCATATTGTAAGATATAATTATTTTTACTATTGTAAAAGTAAAGAAATTTAGTTCCAATTGGGTCTTCATAAAATATGAGAGAAGATATATTTGACATATAAGGAATTCTAATAAAAAAAAAATATAATGATGTTTTTTTAAATTTTAAATTGACAAAATACTTTTTAAACAAAATTTTCAAAAGAATCAATATCAACGTATCATCTTTTGTATTTTCTGATTGATATAAAATAAAAATAAAAATAATTTTATAAAAAGTAAAATATATTTTTTTTATGTTAGAATGTAATAAGTAAAAATGAAAGACCAATCATCGCATTGTAAAATACCTCATCTCTGTACATAATCTGATGCTAGTGTGAAAGTGCATTTATAGCTGTAAGTGTTGCCATTGCCCAGTATTTGTTTAGCTTTTTTTTAATAGACTTCCAATAGGAGGTTTTATGTTTGTATGTATATTTTTCTTTATATAATATGTCCGTTTACATTTAATCGTAACTGAAATATTGGCATTGTTTACCTCGTTGCCTCATCTTGTTTTTTATTGTTAAATTTGTAACCGTTTTTAGTTAAGTGCACGTAGTTTTAATATGGACACGCAGATGTAGCCTAGTTATTTTTGTTTAAATTGTAGATTTTTGTTACGATAGTGACCGTTAAGCATTGTTGATTACATTTCTGATTAACATTCTTTGTTGTTTCACGGCTTGTCCGCTGGCCTGATGACTCATACATCATAGTACATATACATATATGTATTGAGAAAATAATATAGTTTTGAACAAATTGTCAGCGGTTATTTGATTCGAATGTGCTAAATTTCAATGGAAAATAATTAATTGACATTTTTTGGCACTTACATTTGTGTATGTCTTTATTGTATGTACCTATCGCTTATAACTGCTAATAGAATTAGTTTTTTGATAGTACGACGAATCATCAGTAAGGATAAACTTGTTAAATATTTTTATGGTTTTTGAATAAATGGTTGACTAGTATTCTTGTTTCTATTAACCCACATCATTGTTACTTACTCCTTGTTATTTATTATATTATGGTATTTTTATTATGTTAAATTTGTTTAATAAAAAATAACTTCTAGAAAAAAAAACTAAAATATTATATTATGAATAAAAATTACTTGTTTGATGCTTAATGAAAATGTTAAGTGACATACTGTCATGTTAGTATGGAAGAATGACTAGTATAATTTAGCAATATCATCTAAATAAAATTGGTCAAGTGCAAGTCGACTTCGCACACGAAGGGTTACGGCTTTGACTGTGTCAAAAATAAGACATTGATCAGGAAAGTGCATCAAAATGGCGTTAAAAATAATGCACTCGAACTGTAGAATAATAATTTTAAATAAACGAATACAGAAGGTTGATATGAATGTTATGAGATTATCTTGGACTTCATTTGATATGAGAGTTCCACAGGTATCTATACTTGGACCACATCTATTTCTTACATAAATAAAGGATAAACACTAAAACATTACATATTTACGAACTTTCTATTAGGTAAATGTGTTACACATAACATTACACACATATCAGAAGCAAACAAGTATTTGATACTGTAGGGGAACAATATCTTATTTATGTATTCACATTATTAATTAGGAAAGTATAATATGTATTATAATAAAAATATTACTATGTGTAATAACTATGTGTAAATTAAAATTATAAAATATTTAAAATAAACATATTCAACGAACACTTGGACAAATGTAATAGCATATTTTAATATTAGTTAATCGCTATCGCTTGTGGACGGAGCCAACTGCCCGGCGACGCCTCGACCGCTGCAGAATTACCACGTAGACCGCAGACTGCTCACATCCGCTATCGAAGCTAGGCTTGCATCTCTTTGATCTCCGCTGTTTAAACTCGTTTTTTCTTATAATCTATACCATCTTCATTTGTGTTTTCTGTTACGTGTATAAACTATATTGTAAACTATAGTCTTTCATTCCTTCTGTTTCTTCTGTCTAACTGTTAACTGTATGTGTAATATATTGGATTCAAGAGTTGGTGGTTTAATTTAACGCCTCATAGAATAACTATATATACTTACTACCTCAACCACTACAATACTATGACTCGTTTACATATAGTCAATGATTCTTTTTATTAGCCATATAAATATATTTTCGAAAGCTTAGTAGAATTTTTGATTTTTAATATTGAAAATAAACATTTATCCGGTAAAACAAATTGTTTTTGCAAAATAGGATTGATATAGAAGATTTCTTTAATTATTAGGTTTGTTTATAATTTTGTGAAAATTAAATTTATTTGTATGGTTTAACTCACACAATGTACTTAGTCAATAGTCTTCTAAAGCAAAATAATCTAGGAGAAAAACCAAGCGTAAGGACATTTTTTATTAAGTATTCTACACATTCAACAAAAAAATCAATTGTGTGGTGTATCCGATTGTGTCATAGACAAGCGGTTGTTTTTTAATCCAAACCATAGATAAATCGAGACATTGTTTAAAAAAAACTATGATAACAAACATGGCGTGCTGGTAGAGCGTCTTTGAAATCTGTTTACCACTCTTAATTTTTTTTAATAATTAAACCCGTGTTCACTTAGTATGCGGTTACAGACGAAAGGACGGAGACTCGATGTCGCTCGGAATAGGTATACTGGAAATGATTGGGTCTTAAAGAAGATAATGTGAGTGAAGCTAAAGTGTGTGCATTTCCAGGAGGGGCCGGGGCGGCGGCGCTCGGCGGTAGAGGTCGAGGCGGGTGATATGCAAGCGGCGCCGGCGCGCTACGTGTCCGCGAGCGAGTTGTACTCGACAGACGAAGTGGAGCTGCTGCTGGAGGAGATCAGAGAGCTGGAGCCGACCAGCTGCCGCGGCGAGGACGTGCAGGACTTCGAGATCGCCGGCAGTGGGTGCGCGGGCGCGGGCGGCCGCTCGCCCGCCGGCACGGAGCTCACGGAGCACTCGTGGGACTCCCACGCGCATTACTCGCGCGCCCCGCCGCCGCGTCCGCGCGCCCTCGCCCCAGTCTACTGCCACCTCTCATACTTGATCACTCCTACTGGAGCCCTAACTCTTGTACTTGTTGTGAGTCACATTTTGTATATTTAATAACACTATTGTAGAATTTTAATCACTTCATTGCTATAACCTCAGCTTTCTTAATAAGAAGCCATGCATAATATATTTGGTGCCTGTAAACCACCTCACTCAATAAACAAAACAATACTCCTTAAGTCCTTCCTTAGAACTTTTGGTGTTCATCAAACTTCAAAAGTTACCACATGAATGAAACCATTATTTTAAATGAAATTTTTGTCTCTTGTTTTATTATTGTTGAGTAAATAAATATATTTTGCTTAACTTCGACTATAAGAAGATCATAATAATAGTATTAAAACATGAAATGTCTATTAATACTTTATAGGTGATATAACTATTTAATGTACCATCACATTTACTATAACATAGATATGTTAATCCTGTTACTCCCAATAAACATGCATGTGATATTCAATTTAATTGGTTGGAGCCTACATACCTGTGCTGACCTACTTACTGAACAATGCTATTGTGTCTATGTTTGTATGTAGTCCCACACAGCTTATTGTTTAGATCTCTTGAAAGAGCTTACATTCTTTTATATTTTTTATGTTGAACCGAAGGTTTTGAATATTTTACTGGAGTTGATCAAATATATCAAGATAACACCAGATTAGTACACTTACTTTTGTGTCTTTAAACTTTTATGTTTAATAAATATTTGATATTTAAAAGAGTACTGTTGAATTTTTACTGGCTTTTATCAGCAGAACTGCTTTCCTTTCCAGTACTTGTAGACAAATCAAAATTGCTTGTATCTAATTGTGTCTAATTGAATAAATTTTATTTCATTTCATATAGGTTCATAGATAATAAAAACTTTTTATTATTTTTTTTATTTTAGTTTTATTTTGTCAATTTATAGGTAGCTATACAATTTATTTAAGTATTCCTGAAAGAAACTCAGATCAATGTATAAAAAATCATTTGAATGATAGTATTTGATAAAGATAGAAATAATATTTTATAATGAAATAAGTCTTTTAAATAAATAATAATTCATAAGGTTACATGAGTATAAGTAGCCTAGGTGAGGTGTAGTAATATTAATATTTCTTTCCAGATATCATGATATAAATATTTTATTTCTATTATATGATGAATGTTCTTTTTACTAATTTAGTATTTTTATATATGTTAAAGATAAAATTGATTTAAATATAGGAATTATATACTCTATGTATAATGTTTTATTTCAGCTGTGTTCGTTGAGCGTGTGCATCTGTATATGGGGAGCCTTGGGGTTGCGAGCCGCATCTGCTGCAAAGCCCCTGCTGTTTGGAGCAATGACCTCGTTCATGCTGCACACGCTGCTCATGCTCATGCATGTTTCACTACTGGATGCTCTACTGCCAGTTGATTGGAACAGATTGGTAAGATATTTTGTAGATATATGTATATAGTTTATCATTTTTTTTATTTTTAAAATATTTTTGTATATATATGTACATTCAAGGTCATTATATTCTTATTACTTATATTTATATTTAAAAAAGATTCTTAGGGTAAATTTTGACTACATAAAGAAGCTAAAAAAAGTAAACTTAATATTGTTTTCTATTAATTTAACAGCCATCACTATGCTCTTTATGCTATCACTACTGCTGCATTGATTCCAGTGGAGTTTTTATCGCTCATGTATTAGTTTAATTAAAAACTTGGTTAGGTTTTATTTAAAATATCTGAATGAATCCAGAGATATTGGTTAAGCTCTATTTTCTACATAGTGTATTGGTATAAATGTGTGTAGGAGACATGTATTATGGCTGTGGTTAATTGCCGACTCTGGAGTTTTACTGAGAATTGCTTGACACAATAACTCAATATCTGAACTTGGCCCGAGCCAAGACTCCAACCCAGAAGTTTTGGATTTGCAGCGGTACATGCTAGCCACTAGGTCACCAAGAGAGTTAAATGTCATACATGTTGGGTTTCTGGCACGTTGCAGGGCGGCATCTCGTTCGCGTGGAGCGCGGCGTGGCTGGCGGGCGGCGCGGCGGCGCTGCTGCTGGCGCTGCCGCCCGCGCATCACGCCGCGCGCGTCATGCTCTACACCGCCACGGTTAGTTCTAAATCCACTTGTACATATTTTTTCTCAGTTATGTAACTATTTTGGTAATACATTTATATAATAAAAAAGAATTGCTTTTGTTTGTGAAGTGCATCACTTGAGAATGGCTGCCTAGTAATATTGGGAATAAGGAAAAATTTTAAAGTTGCCCCAAAAATGTTGCATAAACATAAATCGTCATCCTTTTCATCGCATCCTTTTATATTTTTGACTAGCGACTCGCGCTCACGGTTGATTCCCCCTACAAACTTTCATTCCCATTTTCACCCCTTTAAGGGATGATTTCTGGGATAAAAAGTTTCCTATGTCCTTCCCAGGGTGTCAGACTATTTTCTTACCGAATTTCATCTAAATCGGTTCAGAAGATCCAGAGATTTCTTAGTACAACGTCACAAACTCAATTCACAAATTTACACATTTTAACTCTTTATAATATTAGTATAGATTTTTGTATGAATTCAAAGATCACAAACTATTGAAATTTGGAGAGGGCAATGTCTGTGTGTTTAGTTTTTATCTATGTTATTTATAAATGATTGACGTGATTAAGTTAGAGCTATATTATGGGTTATATACGAGTATGAGCCATACCCTAGTTCATAATATAGCATTTCGTGTACTGTATAGCTGGTCAATCATCATCATCATCAATATATCGTAGTTCATACATTCTTGATCGACGACATGTTTGGCTGAATTTCTAGTGACCCTACTTGCTGTACCTGCCTGTGATGGACACGAATGTTTGTACTCTGATCGTGGGTGTTTATATTTATAATATGTATGTATTTAAAGTTTTATATGGAACTAGATGGTGCTGTGTAAATATCCCGACATATTTATTTATTCTGTAATACCTATAACGTACATGAAGTGGGCTATATGTGTGCAGGGGCTGGGGCTGGCGGGCGCGAGTGCGGCGGCGGCGGGCGCGGCGCTGTCGCTGCGCGGCGGCTGCGCGCGGCGCGGTACGCGCGCCCCTGCCGCCTACCGCGCCGTGCCGCAGCCGCGCGACCACGCCTTATAGTGCACGTCGCCACTGCTCCACCGCACGATGCCGACAAGTGTACTTACTGTTATCATTTAATTTGTTCTTCTGACTCTTCTTAAAGTAACGGTTGTGTTATTACATTTGTTGTCACATGAGTTGTACAGAAATATTTTGGTTGATTTCTGTTTTAAAAAAAATATTCTAAGGTCAATATATTTTTAAAAGTAAATACACTTTCTGGCATCAATACGTGTGGCGACGACTCACAGAAGGCATTTTAAAGAAACATTGCTGCAGAGCATTGAGTGTAGTGTAGCGACCCTAGAACTGATTTTTTAATGCTATTTCCAAGGAACCCCAATTTTTTATATCCCTGACTGTATTTTAATTAATGTGACGTTTTGTTCTATTGTATGTTATAATTTTGAATGTAAAAGGTACTATAGTTTTGTACCACAAAAAAAAAATGTTATGCCTTTTTGTCTCTATATATGTAAAAAGAGTGTCCGTATTCATTTACTAAACGGATTTTAATATACGTATATTATACAGTAACTGGAGCTGAAGGCAATAGCTAGTGTTGTATCACAATAATATTTTTTGAATTGGCACAAATTTTGTTATTTAAAAGGAGACTTACCTAGTTGCATCGGTGTCTTGATAGTAATAGAGTAAGGAGTGGAGACCGAGGGGTCTTATTCGGCATTTGAATTGACTTAATCTAAATATAGCATCTTTAGGAGTGATTAATTCTTAGGACCAGCGAGCACTGAATGTTAATTTTTTTATTGGTGTGTTGTTACATGATGGCTGGCCTTTTTAATAAATTTATATGCTTTTCTTAAAATTTCCTTCAAGTCAACCAATTGATCATTTTTAGATATATCAATATGTTTTAAAGTGTTTGAGACAAAAGAAAATTGCATATATATTTATTGATAGGCCATTAAGGAGAGACAAGGCGTAGAGTCATTGGACGTTGTCTTATACTGCCACTAGAGTTCGCCTGTGATCACGTCCATTTGTTTGTGACAGTCGGGCAAGATAGAGCCATTCTCTTCTGCAACTGTGCCTGGAGGTTGTACGGCGTTTTATAACACCCACTGGTTTTTATATACTCTTCATTTCTTAGTGACCATGTTGTGGGAGGAGCGTTGGCAACACTACTTAGTGTTATGTTATATCTGATATTCATAATGAATATTAAATTATTTCCATTTGTGTATGTAGGTTTGCCAAGCTCCTCTACTAACAGCGGAATACATTTATAGACTGGGAAGATTGCACGGTCCGTGTGGTTGAGACGGACCATGTCTTCCCCCACTGAGTCTGTATCACAGCCCCACTCTATTTTGCTACACTGTTAATTCTCACATATTATTTCCACAAGTCTGATTTTGATGCTAGTCCATTTAGTGTTATATATTTATTTTATATGTATAAGAAAGCAGCATTCCTTATGTAGTTTTTGCACAAAATATTAGATTATGCATATTTTATCTGTATTTTGTATGTTCGTTTGGAGCTTGAGTCCCGTTCCATTGTCACATGGCGTCCCGGCCCGCGGGGGGTTTCGAATACTATATACAATATATACAAATTTGTGCGAAGGGTAATTTTGCATTGTAATCAGTGTTTATTGTGTTAAGAGTTCTGTAGGTTGGATCATTATATTCATATATATACTATGTATTCTAAACTGACGATGTTCTCTGAGGTCAAAACTGTTCATTTGTACGTCATAATGAGTTTTATTAAATGAATTGATATTAGTATTGAATGTCTGGTGTTCTTGTAAAGAAATATTGCATATGAAAGTTAAATTTTTTATGCTATACTTATTACTCAAGTATAAGTGAGGTTATATTTTTTGTACAATATTTTATTTATGTTTTTTTATTCTATATTAATTATCTACTAAACAATGTTATGTTTGTAATTCTGTAATTTATATTAAAAATCGAAACATTTATGTAGAATTTGAGTTATAGTTTTGACTTCATGAATACATGTGTCTGTGTAATATGCAATATTCGTTTAACATGGACGCTTGTATGAAATATTTTGCATTATTTGTAAGATAGTCTGTCTGTAAGGGGATTTCAATACATTTACCAATTAAGAAATGTTATAGGTGTAATTTTGTACTGTCTGACCGTTTGTCTGTCGTACTCGCGCCACGAGCTTAGTACGTTTGTACCGGACCGCTCCGTCTGTAGTCTGTACAGATGGCATTTACACAATTTTGTTATACCTATTGCGAGAGACTCGATTCATCGATTTTATATATCCATTTGACGTCGTATAACTCGATTATAATAAAGATTTAATATTTTATAACCACTTAACAGTTATAACATTTTTTTTAAATTACAGTGAAAAATTCAAAACAATATTTGTGACAAAACAATTATTAAATTTAAATCGATTAATCGAGACTCTGTGCTTTATCAACGTGGAATTGTCAGTTTATCTGGACGACTGCCGGATGGGAGTGTCGGCCGCACCGGCCACGAGGCACCAGCCGCGAGCCTGCTTTTGTTTACATTATATCGTACATATCACCAAGTCGTACTCTATTCTTACACGAAACCCTCGTATAAGTGTTCCTTTAGTTCACGTCTCACTTGTTCCGATCGCAAGGAGCTATCGTTCTGCGGCCTCTGCCACTTTGGACGGCGAATATGAGTTATTTCTAATCGAGTTGTTGAATCGATTTTAAAATCGATTATGAAATTAATTTGACATTAATCGATTAGCTAAACTGATTAACGGTAATATAACTCGTAATCGTTTGCGTCTAATAAATGTTTTTACTATTGTATTAATTATCTTATGTAAATTGTGTGAAAAAATTGATGTTATATTAATAGATGTAGCTGTGTTGGGACAGCTGAATAAACCTAATGGTTTCATTGGCTTAGTTTTTGGGAGGGAGAATGAAAGAGTGAGAGGGAGAGTAGGGGAGATGATGGGGGGGGGGGGTTAGAAATAGGCGTCGGGTTGGCGCCGCCAGCTACGTCTATAAAGCGCAACAAATATTACAAGTAAATTGATGTATGACTTTGTAGGATATTGTCTCGCTGTACCGAGCTGTGAGCTCAAATATTTATAACAAATTGACCAAACGTTTTCTAAAGCATTTTCTACTATGTAAGCCTGGCCGCAGACCAGAGGCGTAGCTACATTATGGCGTTAGTTGAAAATTCAAAATATACTCAATTTTTTTTTGTACTAGGTATATGTTGACTTTAATACTTTTAGTTTATGAGTTTTGAAATTTCAAGCCGATCTAGGTTTGTTATGATTGTATAACAATGCCAATATATAATAATGTAAATGTCGAGCGTGGGCCGTGAAGTGGCTACGTTGGTGTCCAGAGCACGGTCGCGGCGGCGCGGGGGGAGTGATCTCTATTTAATCTGTGCGAGTATTTTAATTTTTAATTTTAATGATAATACATATATGGTTTTTATACAACTGTGTGTTTTTCTTTTTATCATAATTATTAACCTAATCGATGAACCTAGTCGATTCATTAGAAACCTAGTCGATGCAGGAGATATTGTGCACAGTAATTTGTGTAAACAACGTGCACTCTCTATTCTTTTCACTGTTAAAGTGCTCTAAGACGATACTTCAACACTCGACCGGTGAGAACAGACGCAGGACTACGGTATCCCAGAACGGCTTGGAGGTGTATAATCGCCAACTTCCTAACTTCGGGCTACTGAGAATTTCTTCACAGAAAGTCCCAATCAATTCACATGGCCCGATCTTGTACTCGAACCCAAGACCTTCGAATCTGCAGGTATTATCTACTAGATCATAATATCCAGCAAAGATACGTATGATTATTCTTACCATAGGGTAAGTTAGTTATAGAACTAATAACTCCTTTGATAAAAAAAATTGATATTATTTTGCTTCTTTTTTTTCTAATAATTTAGTTATATAGCTAGCGACTCAACCTTGTTCCGCTTGGTTCGTCCCTAGTTACGTTTTAAAATTTAGTTTAGACTTCTCAGAGATGAGATATTTTCCCGCAATAAAAAGTATCCTATATGTTGACCCGGATAACCAGCTATTATCATACCAAATTTCATTAAAATATGTCCAGTGGTTTTCTCACGATGCATTCCCAGACAGACTAAGACAAAAAATCTAAAACTAGATTCGGCCTCTATCGATAATAAAGACTATTTCAATAAGATTTTCCAAAAAAATATTTGCTGTACAGATTCGACTCAGCATTTTATTATATGTAGGTATAGATAATTCAAGTATCATATAATATTCTTCGCGCTTCAAGAAGTTCTTTCAGACCTATGAATATTGAATACATAAGCGCTTCATTTTTCGAGTTCCGTACCCGAAGGGTGCCAATGGAACCTGGATTACTAAGCCTCCGCTGTCCGTCCGTCTGTCTTTCAGAGGGCTATATCTCATGAACCGTAATAGACCGAGAGTTGAAATTTTTACAGAGTATGTATTTCTATTGCTGCTATAACGACAAATAATGAAAATAAAAAAAATTATACAAGAAACATATTTTTAACTTTCGTTATCGATCATCGAAGTTAATATACTACATATAACATACAGTAAAAGTCATAATAATAAAAAATACATGAACGATGGCACGGAACCCTTCGTAGTTCGTGTGCGAATTCGACTCGCACTTGACTGGCACTTTTATCGAAACAAGACGACCGCAGAGGGTGTGGGTTTATCTTTTAAGAATTTCTTCACTTTTAAAAGGTTTTCGTTGTCCTGTTATCTCTAGAATCTACCAAAATTATCGCGATAATATATCGTAATATCATGACAGCTATTGCGGATCATCGCTTTTTGATTGATTTTTAATATATTAGTCATTAGCTATAACTGTCTGCTTTGTTTTCTGGATTCTTTAGTTACAAATGCATATTGCATTTTAATACAAAAAATCAGTAGAGTGAGTTTTTTTTAATTTTTTTCCAAAAATGGTCTGTTGGTATATTTAATTTTGTTGATATATTTAATTTAAATAACAATTTATTGGCTATGATTTGATATCGGCAGTCCTTTTTAATTTCCTGAATATTACAAAGAAACAATGCCATTAACTTCCTCGTAAGTTAAATTTACCTGCGGATATGACGGCATATTTTATATAAAATCGATTAATTTTCAATTAAAGAACAATTTAATATTGTTTTAATTACTTTATTTTATTATTTATCTTATCAGACATTCATTATTTTAGAAGGAATGTTTATTAACGTTGTGCGACGGATATGGCTAATTCTGGACAATCTGGAGAGTCCCTAAAGTGTGCGGTCTTACGTAAATATTACTTGGAAAATGATTACTTCGTGTCTCCCGAAGGAATACTCAAAGGATTATCGATTGTAAGTATTTATGGTGTTTTGAGCATTTATATTGGTACATATTTTATTGAAATTTACCAGCAGGTAGGTAGTTAGGTACATTGGATTTTTTAAAAATATATATAAAATTTTAATTTTGGAATGAATGAGGTTCTGATAAGAAGAACTAGTGAGAAACTTTGAATAACATATACTTTTAGTCTTTTTGTATCGCTAAGTAGGCGTATGGTCTGCTTAGTTAAATTCTTTGTTGGTAACAACATTAACACGATCGAAAGATTTATTCTAATAGAATAAAATGATGTAAATGCTTATAAAATATAAAGATTAAAAAGGGACCTTCCTTCACACGAGACCGTTATCAATGGTCTTCTTCCGATGTTTTCTTATTGTGCCTGCAGATTTCCTGCACAGTTTCGTCCATACTATTTATATGGGGTGGTGGGTGCAGCGTAGCAATCTCGGGCACTGCCGGGGGGCTCACGCTGGGCGCGGGCGCTGCGCTCGCCGTGCTCGGGGCGGCCATCCTGCTCTCCTTCGCGGCGCTTGCTCCAATGACATGCTTCATCAGTGTTGGTACAGCTACATAGCTATTTGTTACTATCACGGGATTTTACTGATTTAAATAAATAAAATAAATAAATATGTTAGGAAATTTACACACAGCACCATCTAGTTCCATTGTGAGCTACGAGGCATGTGTTATGGATACCAGATAGTTGATACACTACCCATATATAACTTTAAATATTATTTTAAATATAAACACCCAGGACTGGAATACAAACTGTCATGCTCATCACACAAATGAATCTCCACAGCGGAACTCGAACCCGCGACCGCTTGGCACAGCAAATAGGGTCACTACAAACTGAGCCAAACGTGTCGTCAGTTGATTACTGTGCAGAATTACTATTATAAATGCTGTTTGTATGTATGTATGTGCCGCGCTAGATTTACCTACACTAGGGGCATCCGGGGCTAGTACCCAGGGCAGCAACATTCGGAGGGCGAGAGAAAGATTTTCTTCGCGTTATCGAAAATGCTTTTTTTATTTTATAAAAAATAAAAAAAGATTAATTAGTATGTATATTTTTCGAAAAATTTATATCATTGATAAATTATTTTTTTGCTTTAAAAAAAAATACTTTTAACATTTTATTCAAAATTTCGGTAATATGGCGGTATTTTTTACTATGCCCAGGCGGCGCTAAGGTTGACTCCGGCACTGTGTATGTTTTTTACTCCTCCACGCAGAAATGGCTGGACGGATTTGGAGTACACAGATAGAGTATGATTTGGAATAACATATATATTATGTAAAGTACGCATTAGAGCGAAGTGGAGGTAACTCGATAGCTTAGAAAAAAAGATAAAATACAGAAAAGAAGACGGAACTCCATTTAAAGCGAGTACCTACATAAGTCCACTATGAAAAAAATACATAATATGTGATGTGTGTAAATTACGAAATATTACGTAAGGACCTATACAGTGAGTATACACCCCAGGTTTTTTAAACGTTTCGATGATGTGTAATTTAGCTGATTTAGACTGAAGTAGTCTTCACTGCGCCTCGACAGCGCGTTAAAAAATCATCGTGTGAATAGGCCCTAATAGTGCTCGAAATCATACCAGTGACCTACGCTGGTCATATTATGTATGCTATTCATTATCTAAGTAGGCAGAGAAATACCGTACCGTAAATTTTAATGGTGTAATTGCAGGATGTGGTCGTGTCCACCGCGATAGGCGCGAGTCTGCTCCTGGTCGCACTTCTTAGCGTGATATTCTGTGAAGCGCAAAACTCCATAGCGTATACGTATGGGGTAAACAATATACTATTATAATTTAAAACAATCATCCATCAACATTATCTATTTATTAACCTTAAAGATGTGGAATGAAATACACAGTAAAAAGTCTGGAATTTTTCTAAAAAGTCTGAATTTTTGAGATAAATTTTATTTTATCTCAAAAATGTCACGATTTTTTAGGTTTATCAATCTAAAAGTGTTTTAAACATAACTATCTTTTTGGTATTTCTAGCGGTTTTATGTTGATTATGTGAAAGTCTCTTTATAATTTTTTTAAATCCTACCATAATACAGGCTTACTCTCAGTTTATGAAAAGGTACAAAATTTCATTTTAATTTTCTACTTCACAACTTTAAAAGTTATGTTATTGGCCGACTTAAACCTAAAGTAATACTTATTTATGTAGATCGTAGCCGGTGAGATCCGCATCTCTGAGACATATCCAATTAAAGTTTGACGCACTTGAGGCCGCAGCAGTGAGTCACTACCACCTGCAAAGGTTACATGAACAATATGAGACAATTTACATTTATATTATAATTTTATTGTGATCGCTAGTTTTTGTACGCGACTCCAACCGCGTGTTTATTTGAATCTGGATGACTTAACTAAATAATTTGATCGATCGAACTGGTCCGATGATGACGTCAGGTAGTGAATAGGTACCTACATGAATTCTTCAATAGCTATAAGTGAATTTTCCGATTGTAGAATTTCACTTTTGATTAATTTTGACTAATCCCGTACATTACAGTTGCTCAAGAGATATTTTTAAAAAACATATAATATTATTATTAAATCCAATGTATTAGACAAAGCTATTCATTGATAATTTAAGACCAAAATTGTGATTAAACCGTGTGAAAAAGTATTACCGGGATAAAAAGTACTGTAACCAAAAATACCTGTAGTCCATCCTGTAATCTATCACAGTACAAGCCACCAGTTTGTGGTACAAGTTTTATACAATCAATCGCTTGCGCCAGATTCAGCTACAAATATATAAATATCTTCACCAAGTTTATGGAGGTATAATCTATAGGTACATATAATAAAATTGTAACTAAGCCAAATCTGTAGGTACATTAAATATTTTTTGGAAAATCTTATTGAAATAAATATTATTATCGATATAGAGGCCTAATCTATAGTTTTTAGAACTTTTGTTTGTCTGTCTGTCTGTTACCGCATCACAGAAAAACCACTGCAGGGATTTTGATGAAATTTGGTATGGTGAAAGCTGGTTATCCGGTTCAACATATAGGATACTTTTTACCGCGGAAAAATATCTCATTTCTGAGAAAAAATACAAAAACTGCATTGTATGAGTATACTAATATGTAAAACCTAAGAAATTGGTTTTTGGTCATCTGAACGCAGGCGGATGCTACCTAATATACGTATACATTATACATAATGCCAAAATAAGATTTTTATTGTCTGATGTATTACATTATTTCGTTCAAGTGACATTTAAGAATGCATTTAAAATCACACACTTTGTGCAGCAGCCGAGGTCATGGTAGTTAAATGTGGGTTTTTAAGTAGTAGGGGTCCATATCATCGTTCTATACACTATACTACACTGCAAGATGTTCAGTTTAAATTCATGAAAAATATTTTTACTAACGCATGTTTATCTCGATGAGAATATTTTACTGCGATATTTGAGTATCTAAGTATAACACTTTAAAATATCCCTTGTCCTATAGAGTGGGCGAAAGAACGGACAGACTGTGTAAAGTGTTGTCATCTGGGGACACGGCAGTGCTATATATAGGTAGTGTTCTGACCGGAGCCTTTAGATGCAGAACTCTAAAAACCAAGGAAACGAAAGAGATGTGACGTAGAGATATGTTTTTAAGCAAATAAATGTTAATTAACGACGTGATAAGTCAATATTCTCTACAGCACCAAAATATACAGGAAATTTGTCATTTCCCAATTAAGGCTCATGGTCAATAGTCGTAAAAACTATATTGTTTATTATGTATGCGTGTTTGTGTGGTGTTTTCCCGGAGAAAACGCTGACCGATTTAAATTAAGACACTGGGGCTTAGTCAAGATCTTGTTTACCTTTAGTAAAGACGGACGTGAGCTATATTTTCTACCTCAAATAAAAAAAAAATCTACTATTTCTATGGTCGGATACCTTAAGTACCTACTCAAACATAAAAATAAGTACAGGGTGATTTTTGAGACGTGACAGTACCTAAGGGTAGGTATGTGAAGGTACCAGTAAAGGTACCTTAACTGCTATAGTTACAGGAAAACGTTCCTAGGCGACCATCCATAACTTTTTGAGATATTCTGAACTGCAATCACAGATTTTGGAAAAAATATACCTAGTTGGCAAAAAAAGGCTAAAATACCAAAAAAAATTTTTTTATGTCTAGCGATCCTATTTCATGTAGGGATCAAAAGACTCTATCGATCGATCTAAGGGACCATTTAAGGTATGAGTAGGTACTAGAAATCACAGAAATCGCCAAAAACTTTTCCCATATTTTTATGTACAGATTCAACTCAGAATTTTATTATATGTATATAGATAAGGGAAGGCTGAAATGATGACAAGGTTGTATGCAAATTCTCATAAGCAGAGTTTGATAACTTTAGTTTGCAGATATATAAAAAAAAGTCAAGAAAGAAAGAGCTTCACATATTTTGGCAAAAAAAAATATTTTGTAAATATTCACAAATAATGTTACTATTTTTTATTTCAGCCTCTCTCTTTAATAAATGCAGCATTAGTGATAGGCAGTGCAATATTGACATATATGTCAGTGACAAGTAGATGGGATGCTGCATCTGGACCAGCAGCATCACTAAGACCACACTCTGATGAACAGGAAGTTTAATAAGAACTCACATATATAATTAAATTACATTTTAATATTTTTATACAAAATACTATAAACAAATTTGAATAAAATATTTAAATACTTTCAGTTGTACTAAATTCGAGTATTATCATGTTATATACAATTAGTTACCAACACCACAGTGTAATGCATATTATTATTTTTAACTATGTACCGGAAGTTCTAAAATACTGTTCAACACATTCAAAAATACTCTCAGCTTTAGGCTTTGCCGCAACACCAGCTATTTCCACACCCAGATTTTCTATTTTGTGTGCTGTTGAATTGCCAATCGCAAAGTGTGGAAGAATTGATAGCTTATTATTAAATGTCTGCAACTGCCTGTATATATATTCACAGCCTGATGGACTAAAAAATACCAAACAATTAAGATCAACTGTTTCATTCAATTCCATTAGATTGGTCCTCAAACTTTCATTTTCTTTTGTCTCATATACTGTTAAGCCATCAACTATAATGTTCTTAGAAGATAATGTATTAGGTAATGTCTCAGATCTTAAATTTCCACAAGGAAACAAAAATTTTGAGTTTTCAGGGTTCTCATTTACTATTAGAGTTGCCAGATTATCTGCATTGCCAGTACTACTGCCCATGGCTTCTAATCCAAGTAGTAACTTTATTTTTTGATTGCTGGTCTCACCTACTGTGTATATTCTCTTAGTGTTCCAAATAACGAATTTTGAAGGTGCCCAGCACTTAGATACTGCTTCAATGGCTCTAGGACTTGTCAATATAAGCCCATCATAATCGTTCTTTAGTAATTTTTCACTTAGTTCTTGTAAGTTCACAAATTCGAATTGGAGTGGTTCCACAAAAATTGTTTCATAATTACTATCACTGAAAGCCTTCTTGTAGTCATCTGACACACTTTTAAATAGTACAACTTTCTTCATTTTTTAATATTTTACACGGAACTGACATCAATTACGTGTTCTTTGTTCTAATGCTCAATACTACATAACAATGTTGACCCTGAAAATATAAGAAACAAGTGAGAATAACTTATCCTAATGGACCTTTTATGAGTTGCTATTAAATTTTATTTTAATGTCTAAAAACGATTATGAGTTATTTTATTACTTCATATTTGTCTTTAAATGCATGTAGACGCTATTTGTTTTAGGTACAATTATACTTTAAAGGATATGTTATGAAATATAATAGTTTTCTTACTTCAAAATTATAGGTTCTTCTGTATACAATTGACGTTTACTCACAGCTGACAGCTGTTTTGTGAGATCAAGGTTCAAGCTTTTATTTGTCTTCCATGGTTCAAGCCTCAAGATAATTTTGACATTGACAGCCACAGATAGATGAATAATAAAGTCGATTGTCAACAGTCAAGTGTCAACTGTCAAGCGAAGCGAGTTTTGATTTTTGTAAATTTGCATAATTATTATTTTTTGAATTTTTCCAGGGTTAGAGACCTCATTTAAATAATAAATCAAGTGTTGATTGACTATTAATCCAAGTAGTATCTCTATATTATAGTTTGTGTAACTTAAACACGTACCTATATACGAATGATTGCCTTTGGTAAGTATAAGTAATTAGTATTCCTTGTTATATCTTCACAAATAGACTCTTTTGTGTGTATTTTAGATTATAGCTATAAAATATATAAAATGGGTATATTTTGAGTTTCTTATTCCTCAGCTTTCATTCTAAGGTTATATACGGTATGTATGTTAAGTAATAAAACTGGGAAATCATAAGGCTCAGTTCACGCAACCAGGCGCAGATCCAGAGTTAAATTTTGGGGGTGGTCATAGGCTGAAATATGCTTATAATAAAACAGTAACTTAGCAAAATCTGTACATGATTTTTTTTATAAACAATGACTGTAAACGTGTAACATATAGTGTACAGAATATAGAACCCCAAACAAAATTTTTATCTGTATGTCTGTTTGTTTGTGCGGATTCACGCAAAAAGTACTGAACCGTTATTAACCAAATTTTGTGTAGTAATAACTTATTACTCGGTTCAACATTAATCTATTAATCCTTCTATTCTCAAACTTCAGGTTCTTAAAAAATATATTTGGCTTTGGGGAGGGTCATGATTTCCATGACCCCTCCTCTGGATCCGCGCTTGCACGCAATGAGGTAACTAATTGTAAGTTTAAAATGTACCAGGTGGCGAGAGTGAAATTTCAGGATTTTAATGTTAAACTACAATAAAACCCTTTAATCATGTTGTATGAAAGTTTTTCTCAAAAAATATTATTAATCTTAAAATATCATTTAATGCTACATGCTAAAGCAAAATATCATTTACTTTCAGAAACACATTATGGCTGACAAGTCAAGTGCCGAAAGACAGAAGAGATATAGAGAACGTCTCAAACAAAATCCTATTAAGTATCAAGAATTTCGAAAAAAACATTTGGAGAGAGTAAGACAATATAAAATGAAAATTAAACTTAAAAAGCAAAATGAAAAAGAAAAAATGAGGCAGAAGTGGAGAGAATATTGTGCCCAATACTATAGCAGAAACAAAAGTAAATCTATCTGTGAACCAAATACAGCACAAGAAAATATATTAAATAATAATGAAAAATGTTGGAAATTCAAAGCAAATAAGTTTAGGATACAATTAAAATTTTATAGACAGATGTTAAACAATTCAGTAAAAAAACAAGAAAGTATGAGAAAGCATATTTATCAGCTTAAACAAAAAATACTTACCTATGAAAACCAGTTTAAAGAGGAAGTTAATGAGTAACAACTATAAAATTTTTCATATTGTAACATAATTTGAGAGACCGACCAATCTCCTTCATGTCTTTTCCATTCTATGTGACATAGACAAAGTAATCTGTGCTGAACTGGCACTTTGAAGCTATTAACAAGAGAATTGAATGTACATAATTGATTAAAAAGTGACTTAAATCAGTATAAAGAAGAAACCCAAAAAAAAATTTAGTTGAAAAATATTGTTAAAAAAGTGTCATTTATTATGAAATTTTTCAAAATTATTAATAATAAATTTGACTCAATTCCACTACACTCACTTCCGATACACTCATTTTTCCAATGAAATGCAATTTTCAATTATTTATTACTCTTGCTCTTAGGCGTGCCAGTTGGGTTTAGGTTACATTTGTTATCCATATGTCTTATAGAAAATTTCTTTTTATTTATTATCTAATCCTTATCTTTAATCCTGCTGAGATTTTGACTTTTGATGAAAGAGTGTTTCAACATTGGATTGGTTTTGATTTCAGACATGGAAGAGGAGAGGAAGAGTAAGCTTAGCATTAGTACTGTTTCCACTAGATGAGTATAGACAATTGAATGAGAGGATTTCTTTAGCAAATGTACTGTAACAAAACATGGAACTTTTGTATGATACCATGGGCTTTGGCTTTGACTCAAATCACACATCAATAAATTAAAATATTGTGAATAGATAATGACAAATATATAATTGAACAAAAGTGTTGTTTTATTTTCTTACATTATTTATTTTTTGAGAAAATTGCTTTATTTAATGTGTCATGTATATAATTAAAAAATATTAACTGGCAGACAAAAAATTAGCTACATTAATTTATATACAAATTATTTAGTTTTTTGGTTGAATTTTTTGTTAATTTTTTTTTGTTTTTTTTTTTTTTTTTGTGTGGTTAAAACGTACTAGTTAAAATTTTTAGAACTTAGTGGGCAAAAATATTTTTAGGAATGAATTTTTATGCATATCTAAAAAGCATATTGTAAAAAGTGATTATAGTTATACATCAAAACATAAATATCTATACTAATATTATAAAGAGGAAAGATATGATTTTTTGTTTGTTTGTTTGTGCCGAATAGGCTCCGAAACTACTAAGCCGATATAGATGAAATTTGGTAAGAAGATAGTTTGAGACCCTGGGAATAACATTAGATAGTTTTTATCCCGGAAATCATCCGTTAAGGGGGTGAAAATGGGGATAAAGTTTGTATTGAGAATCAACCCAGGGACTAACCCGAATGAAGCGAGGGTCTGTCGCTAGTGTTACATATATTCGAGAACCTCCTTCATGTATACATATCTGTACATATAATTAAATACGAGTATGTACTAACAAAGTGAAATCTGTTCCTGATTTTTGTACCCGTATGCGATGCTACGCGTATGTGTGGGTAACATCGACCTCAAAATCATAATCGTTTAATTTTTTGTCCATTTGTTTGCATGTCTGTTTGTTTTTATCTATAGTACCTATAGTAAGTGTAGTTTGTTTTACAAAAAGTATTGATTTTTACTAAATTTTGGGTGACGATAACTTATTACTTAGGTCAATATTTAGCATACCATTTACTACAGGAAAATCTTATTCCCACAAGAAACACGAGTCCTTCATACAAAAATTTCAATGCTTTATTACATAACACTATTAGTAGCAGAGTTAAAAAATAACATATTGAATATTTTAGTTCGGTAAAATTTCGCATTTTCCTGGGAAAATGCAAAGTAAGTTCGCGCACCAGTGGCCCATTTATACATAACATAAAAAAATCGCAATAATCGCTGTCTGCCTTTGACTTGTGGTTTCGAACTACATATATGGTTTTCACTAATAGAATGAGTGATGAAAGAGGAAAGTGCGTGTATACAATTTATAAATATTTTACAGAATAGCTAAGCGATGGCGATGTTTTGTGCATACATAGCTAACGCTGGCTAAGCTTTAAGATATACATCAAAACAATGTTCTAGAAAATTGTAAAATGCTTAAAAAGGCTTACAGATCCACGATAGCATGTGTCTATCTCATTAGGTACATTCGCAATAACTATTTATCTATTTAATACGCACCCGAGAGAAGCGAGGGTGAGTCGCTGTATATTATAAAGTATATAACACAATATAGTATATAACACAATACTTAATAGGAAGTTATATAGTTAAGCAGAAAAAAATAATAAAAGCCGTCTTCATATAAAAAATAAACTCTAGTTAATGTTCACACGATATACCTACTTTCATTGCGACGCGCGGCCGAGCCCGGAGCAGGAGCATCTGCAATCAATCTGAATAGGCCTCTGTGACTGATCCCACAATGAGTGTTGTACTTTTGTTTCTATATCGGTATCCAATTGAAACGGCAACTCGATACCATCACTGTTTTAACTACTGCCACTTGAGTGGAGCAGTGATTGATTTTTATATACTATATTTTTATATAGGTACGTTTTAATTTTTTGAGCGGAACCCTAATTCTTTTTCTAAAATAAAAGTAGCCTATGTTACTCCCTATAACATCAGCTATCTTCCAGTGAAAGTCCCGTCAAAATTAGTCCAGTCGTTTCAGAGATTATCCGGAACAAACAAAGAGACAGATAGACAATAATTAAAAATGTGTGTTTATTATAAGTACCGTATATAATTTCATACGCTTTTAGTAAAACGCTGTTATTTTGACATTACAAACAGACACTTCAATTTTATTTAACTGTATAAAGTAGAAGTAAACTACAATAAACAACATTTATTTATGCTGTATATAATATATGAATGAATATTGTAGACGAAAAAATATTTTATTTTATCTTTATCATAACAATTAGTATGTTAAAACCTCCGACTAAGGAATAATTCTTTAGTCTGAGGTTTAAATATAGTTTTATGCTATGAAGCGCTCGGTTGTCGGTCTAACTTGCACTTTATTTTTAAATCATGGTTACATTGGTGGTGGTTACATTACATGGTTACATTACATGTTACGTCAAAATAAATGATTTCAGAAATATCAACAAATTGTTTTCGGTACCTCCCAAATTACAATATGCCTGCGACGTGTTCGTGTACCTACATTAAGTAGCTCGAAGAAAATACATAGCAAAGAACAAAGTATGGTAATTAATCAAAGCTGAGGTCGAGTGTGGAGTCCAGAACGGAACTG